AAATTCATATTTTAAGTAAATAGCCTACCAAATTATTCTCAATTTTCTGACTATAGTATAAAAATATTTGCAAAGTATAGATTAACTGAGACACTAGCACTGAAATGCTGAGAGTCCAAAATTAACAAAGTAAAACTTTTTCCCCAAAACCTATTGCATTAAATGCTTTTTAAAAAAAATTTAGAGATCATTTTGTCTAACCTTCTTTGAAAAACAAATAAAAAAGAAGCCCAGAGGTAAAATAACTTGACACTTCTCAGTCTTTCCACTGTATCACTTAGTGTTGCCAACTCCATTTTACAAGTGAGCCAAATCAATTCCGTAACTAAACTGTAGATAGCAGCATCTGGCATGAGAGTGATAGGACCCACATTTAAATTCCACTGCTACTTACTGCCAGAGTCTTTGACTTTGGTCAATTCCCTTTCCTTCCATTGGGCTCAGTTTCTTCCTCTGCAAAATGTAGGGGTTGACCTAGAAAATGCCAAAAGTTTATGATCCTAGCTCATTAATATAGTGAGTAGTTCAGGCTAATAATTATAGCATAGGTCATAATCATCAGGTCAGTTACTGCCAAATAACTATTTAGAATATATTTAAATACTTTGAAGATACTATTACACTGGCCCAAGAGACCATGGAACAAGTGAAATTACGGCAAATGGAGACAAATAGGTTATGATGACATCTATTTAGCAATTCTGATAACTGAACTTCAGTGAAGGATTCCTACATGAAGGCTTGTTATGTTGATCTCCATGCAACAGGTTATATTATAGTGAAATTCCAGTTTACATGGTTTGGTTGGTGTACTTCTTGATTTCTTATTCCCAAATGGCCATAAAGAAAAACAAACTTCCCCTAACCCACAGAAAAATGATGATAAAAACAAATCTCCCAAGGGTGAATTTACAATTGGTCAGTGGCATTTATAAACTGGGAGTAAGAAAGCAGTAATAAATGGAAAACACTTGAAGTACAGGACACTTCACTTAAAAGAGAAAAAATAAGCAATACAAATACAGTCGGACAGCAAGACGGACTTGGTGCAAAAAATGGGAAACATCTAGTGATCTCATCTAAGCAGTCTACATGGCAGACTTGTCAAACACTCAGCTGCAGCATTTGGAACCAGATTAAAGTGGAAATGGGAAACAGTTAACAAAATAAAAATACAACACAACATAGAAAATGTTAATGTGTTTTTCAAGTCAATATGAGGCCTCCAGGGATCCTTGTGATGGTACAGTAGGCCCATTTCTACTTGAGTTTGACACCACTGGTTTTCTGGAGCAGTACTAAGATGGAGACCTCTAGTGCTGTACATTAAAAAATGAGCGTAACACTGAGATGAAGACTGAAATACAGCATAACAGAATCATTCATTAATCCCCCTTCAGTAGTTAGCACTAGTTGAACCAATCTGAGATGCCACAGCTAAAGGAATGACATAAATTCTAAACAATTTCTAGTGCTAAAAAATAATTACTAATAGGCAGGGAATTAATTCTATTCCTTTTTTGAAAAAAAAAAAGGCTAGATGAGTAAGTTTTATTTAGCCTGGAGAAAATGAAGATGGTAAGACATAAAAAAGCCATTCCAAGCACATGAAGTTATTGTTAAAGCTAACGGTGAATGGCTATTCTGCTTCATCTGAGGACAAAACACAAGCAGAAGTCAAACTGTCCCTGATTACATTTGGATCAGACAATGAAGAACTTCATGACCATACCAAAGAGAGTCAAGAGCCTTCTTCTGAAGAAATGTTAAAGGAGTAACCAATACTCTAAGAGAGACCATATTAAATTTTATCTAAAACCAGGGTTATTAACTAGATGTCTTAAGAGCTCTTTCAGGCTTTATAGTTCATGAAGTATTAATTATTATCAGATACCAAGAGAATACACTGTAACCTTACTAGATTTTCACCAGGAATAAACAGCATAGAGAGGTAGGTAAATTCAAGGATAAATTAATGAGCATAATTCCAACACAACCTCGAATTTTGTCAGGAAGAAACTATTTTTATATCCATGAGTAAAATCATTAACTCTTATACATATAATACAGACATCAAGAAATTAATTTGAAAAGGAAATGTACACAGGGCTTCAAAAATGAACAATTGTGACTATCTGTATGAGCCATAATACAACTGTGAGAAGATAACTTCTCAATTGAAAAAAAAAAATCCTCATTAGAGAAAGGGAATTTTTCCATGAAATATCTTCCCCCTTGAAATCATAGTTCCCATCAATCACAACCAACTGGAGATTGTTAGACCCATAAAAAATATACAAGATTAGGAATGTCAGAGTTGATAAAAGATACTTTTTCATTACTTGTCAAGTACTAATGGACAGTTTCTCTGTCAAAAGATTTAAAAGAACACAACTTCTTGGTATCCATATTTAGAGACTGTTATCACTCTGCTGCCATCAAAAAATGAATGAATGTACATTAGGGAGCCTACAAGTTCTCAAACATACAGATAAAAACATACTGTACAATCACAAATCTTGACCAATATGGCTCTGATTTCAAACACAGTATGATTAACAGATGATTTAGCAAGCTACCCTGTAAATAAAAAAGGGGGTTGATAGTCAATTCAATTCACTCATTTATTATGCTTCTACTGTGTTCAAACCACTGATAAAGGTTCTTGGGAATTACAAAGATCAGTAAAGCATGAGTCCCTGCCCCCAAGCAGCTCACAGTTTAATTGGGAAGATAAGACTTATACACAAATGAATAATATACAAGTGATGAAACACCAATAAAGAGCAATGAAAGATATAGAGAAGGATAAGTGGAACCTGAACTTCTTTCTTTGAAAAGGAATTTGATCTGGGTTTTGAGAATGGTAGACTTTCAACAGAGAACAGGGATTTTGGGGGAGGGAAAGGCATAGTAGATGGTAGAAACACACACACACACACACACACACACACACACTCTCTCTCTCTCTCTCTCTTACATTCATATGGTGCTTTAAGGTATAGACAGGGGCAGCTAGGTGGCTCGGTGTTTAGAGCACCTGCCCTGAAGTCAGGAAGACCTGAGTTCAAATCTGGCCTCAGACCAAACACTTGACATGTACTAGCAGTGTGACCTCGGGCAAGTCACTGAACCCCAATTGCCTCACAAAAAAAAAGGTATAAACAAAATGCTTTCCTCCTAACACCCCCGGAAGGGAGTCAAAGGCAAAGACTGGGATGAGTCTGGGCAACAATTAAGAATATCAAGTATATGAGATAAGACTGAAAAGGTAGGTTGCAGACTTGAGTTTCTTGAATATCAGGATAAGGAATATGAACTTTATTCAGGAGACATTGAGAACCCAAAGATGGCTTCTGAGTAGGAGAATGACAACTTGATCAGCACTATACATTAGAAAGACCACTCTGGGACAGGTGTGTAGGACAGACTGAATTGAAGACAAATTGGAGACAAGGAGATGAATAAGAATATCATAGCAATAATCTAAGCGAAATATAGATGAGAGGCTATAATAGGGTAAATATGATGGGAATGAAGATTAAGGGACGGATATGTGAATTATTTCACCAACTGACAGGATTTGGGAAATGATTCGATGCAGGGGATAGATGTTTGGAAGAGGAAAGGGTCAAAGTAATACCTAAATTTTAAGTTTTAGTTATAAGGAGGACAGTGGTGCAATGAACAGATATGGAGACATTAGGAAGTACAGATTCAAGCAAAATGGAAAAGTAAGTTTGGGACATAAATTTGAGATGCTACCTGGGGAATGTGGTAGAGATAGTTAAAGATCAAGTCTGAATATATAAAATTAAGAGTCACCTTTAGAATGGTGATTATGGTGACAGCTAATCACAGAAGTGAAAGCGAACCCCAAAGGAAAGACTCTACACAGAGAGAAGAAGACCAAGGGTAGTAGTCCTGGGGAATTCCTTTAACTAGGAGGCAGGAAAAGGAAGAGTCTGTGAAAGAGAAAAAAATGGTCAAAGACGTAGGAAGAGAATCATGAGAAGAGAAAGGAAAAAGTTTTAAGGAGAGGTAGTCAACAATGTCACAAGCTACAGAGATGTCAAGTAAAATGAAGATGAAGAAAGGCTATTGGATTTGATAGTTATGAAATTTACTGCTGACTACTAAGGTAATAGTTTCTGTCAAGTAACAGAAGTGGAAGCTGGTCTGCTGGGTTTGGGGAATAAGTGGTTGAGTGAGCAAGAAGAAGCAACTAGTGTAGACTGTTACTCTCAGAAGAAATTGGTGCCTAGAAGAGTGCCTTATAAAAAGGTGGTGTTTAACATTTACTTGAAGACTGAATGAACCATATTAAGGCCTATAAAATTAGTTCTGGCAAATGTATCCATATTGCTTAGTGTTTTAGGAGACAAATTAAAAGTTGAAGGTAAATATGAACATCAATTACTTTGGAGTTATCAGGTTTTTTAAAAATGTGGTTGGCAATTTAGAAATAAAAAGTTTCTAAAGACAACAGAAGGTTTATCATGGGCTTTTAAAAGGTTGTCTGCCTTTCCTAAGACAGAGAATTTTTATTGACTATGCAGCTCTGAAAACTGCCTGTAAATAATAAACAGGGGTGCTCAGTTAAAAGTGATGCAACCAAAACAAGTCCAAGCAAGGCCATAACAAAAGTTTTGTTTTAAATGATGTCATCCAGGAAAAGTCACTACAAACATGTAAAATTTTGGATTTACCTCACTTTTCCAATCTAACTGCCATAGCTGAATTTTAAAAATTATTTTTCTGAATTCCTTTCTTCTATAATTAGATATAGCAAATGCACTCATCATATTATTAGACCAATCAAAATTTATCATCATGGTATTTTATGTGTCACCATTTAGTATCATATAACTGCTAAACATGAGTTAGTAACTAGGAACAGGAGAATTAATTTCTGTTCCCTACATGTCTTATTATCTATTCCAATTTGGAGATGCTAAATAGATATCTTTTGAATGAACAAAAAGGCAAATATCAAGCACTTAATTGGACCAAACACAATATATTTTTTAACCTGATTAGTTCCATGAGTCAACATAAATACGTTTGGATTTTCACATCTTGCAACTCACAAACAGAGCACCTGGACCAGCCAATAATCACATGCCAATACCATCCCGAAAAAGGGCATAGTCTTTTAATTAGAGTAACAAAGGATATTTCACAATATAAATAAAAGAACTCTGCTACATACATGAACTACTTGACCTTCCCTGCTGTAGTCATTAGCAGCTGGTACTTGGTCCTAAGCCAGAAATATCCTCCTCTCAAAAGAAAAAAGTGGTGGCATTTGCGAAATATGATGTGCTTTAAAGAAGTAATTTTCAAATATTTGAAATTCTATGTCTTATGTATTTTGATATCAGCTATTTTTGGAAAATGAATGTTAATTTAAGCGCACCAAGACTGTAATTTTCAAATAAAGGACTGAACATATTACTAATGTGTACAAACAGATCTTTAAAAAAATTAAGAGCAATGAGAGATCACAAAATCAGACACTGAGCACCAAAACATAACAAACTATAAAGACAGTACTATATTGTACAAGCAACATTAATTGTGCTTTGCTTCCTGAGGAGAAAAAAAAAAACAATCAATCAAACTTATTATACTTTCAGGCCTTCCTTTCTCACTACTGAATGCCCAGGGACTCCATGGTCTTCCTTTTCTCATCAGTGAGACCCACACATTCTGGGAAATACAAATGATTTCAATGCATTCAAGGAGAGGCCAACATCTCTCTCAAAAGAAAAAAAAGTTGCTTCCTCTTATCAGAAGGAAGAAAAAGGCAACACTTTGGTTTGAGTTCAAGTGAGGGAATGCCTTTAAGCCTATAACATTAATGCAACAACCGTTTCTGTCCTTTGCTAGTTTTGTACCATATCCTTCAGAAGGGTATAGCTATAATTATAGAAATATATTCATATTTCTAGATGAAGGTGATTTTTATTTTTGTATTAAAAGTAAAATATCAGGTTATGAAATGCTCATGGAGACTAACTGGCTGATAGGAAAAGCAGCTCTGGAGGTCAAAGGGTGTGAAATAGCACAGTACAGAAATATGGTCTCCTCTGAATCCTATAGCTGTGATCTAGGATCATAAGATTTCATCCTGCTAGCTCAACGATATCAATCTGCAAGTAGAAAAAAATTATCTAAAGTAGACTTTATTACACCCACAAGTCTTAAAATAAAACCCTTACACCTCAATTCAAGTCTATCATTAAGTTTCTTACAAGACAAAATAAAGACTTTCTAATAACAGACTGAACAAAGCTATGGTAAAATTCCATAGAAAAACATGGAAACAAGAAGACAACATCCAAACAGAGACAGATGAAAGAAAACAGTGATAATAAAATCAATTCGCTTTTCCCCTCTCTCTCATGTACATGATCACTTATCTACTTTAATACAAGGACTTCTCTAGAGTAGAAGCTCCTGTCAGTTCAGAAAACTCTTCTCCCCATGTGGCTTCCATCAAGGAGTAGAAGCAGGAGAGCCCTTCAAACTGCTGAGTGCTGCGTGGATCCGAAAGTGCAGTCTGGACTCCATGGAGTAATCTTTGTAGTTGGTTCTAAAAGACAAAAAGAACAAACCGTAAACAAGAAATCAGAGCCCCTACGCTCAGACTAGCCTTCTTTTTGAACTTGGGTTATCTTTTCTCTATCAAGCACATTTCATGAACAAAACTAAGTATATACATTATTCCTAAACTGTGTCAACTCCCTAAATTAGACGGAGAAATCAAGGGCAGCCTAGCTCTTCAAACATATCACAGGATCAAAATAAAAAAACAACATTAAATTGGCACAAATCATTATGGTAAGAGTTAAGAAAACCGTATTCTAAGAAATGATAGGCTGTATTCTAAATTCAGGCAGCTGGGTGGCAAAGTGGATAAAGTGTCAGGCCTGGAGCCAGGAAGACTTATTTCCCATAGTTCAAATCTGGCCTTAGACATTTATTAGCTATGTGACCCTAAATAAGTCACCTAACCCTGTTTGCCTCAGTTTCCTCATCTGTAAAATGAGCTGGAGGAGGAAATGGTAAACTATTCTAATACTTTTGCCAAGAAAATCCCAAATGGGGTCATGAAGAGTCAGACACAACTGCAACAACTGAATAACAAATTCATATAAATTCAGCGCATTTTTGCTAAATATCTACTATGGGAAATACTCAGTGGTAGGCCTTCAGCATCAAAGGAAATAATGAAACAGTTCCTGTCATCAGGGAATTCTACCCTAACTCCCAGAATACAGCAAATAACTTCAGCTATTAATTAGGTGCCCTCATGTTTCTGCTTTAACTAGCTAAGTCAGCCCCCCCCCCAAAAAAAGAGTTTGAAGCCAGTAATATCAAAAGAGGAAGGAAAAGGAGGGAATATTTTCAGATATGCCAGTCAATAATCCAATTGTTCCTGACCACAAAATCTCTGGACTGCCAGGGATCTTAGACCCTATCACCTAGTCCAACTCCCACCCTGAAGCATGACTGCTCTAAATCCATGATCATCTACGATTTTACTACCTAGAGCCCTTCTCACCAATTCATCCTTCCTACATGCCAGATGTATCTTGCTTACTGATGTAATTCTACTTCTCAAAAAATCTTCATGGGCATCCCCTGGGGAAAGCTCTAACTCTCTCCTCTGTCATTTAAAAGCTTTCACAATCTGCTACCACCCTCCCTTTCCAGTCTTACGTTACTGTCCTCAACACACTCTCCAGGAAAATTGGAGACTCCCTGAACCCTCTAAGTTGTGTCCCTAGAGTGTTCTCCCTCTCTTTTCTTGCCTGCTGAATCCCTACTTTTCAGGCCTGCCTCCAAAGTCAACCCCTCCAAGAAACCTTCCCTGTCACCTCCACTGGTAATGGCCATCCATTACTCCCACCTTGCACCTCTCATTGGTATTTCCCACTCCTCCCCTACCCAGGATTCTGAGCACAGGAAGAGCTTTGGCAAGTAAGGAAAGTACCCCTCCTCATTATCCAGGCCCCCTATTTGAGGGGGATGATATAATATTAAGAAATAACAACGAAAAAATAGAAAGACAGTTGATACTTTGCTTCTATTTAAGTGGCAAGGCACCACAGTGTCCTGAATACAGTACCCACTTGACAAATGTGTCCTGTGTGGTTGAACTAAGGGAAAATAATCTTCAAATTGGGAAGAGGAAAACAATATTAAGAAGAAACTGAAGGACAAAAGAGGAATGGAGCTGTTTCGTGGGGTTATTGTGACATATGTGAGAGAATTCTGCACATGAATTCTTCAGGAGTGCTAGACTTTGGTCCAGGCTGTCATTAACTAGCTGTGTAACCAGGAGAAAAATCACTTGGCCTTTCTGGGTTATAATCACCCAAGAGAATTTAAGTCACTTAAGTCACTGTTTCCTTTTTGTCTTTGTACTCATACCCCAATGCCTAGTACTGTGCTTGGTGAGTAACAGGTGCTTAACAAATGACTACTGAATTTAATTGGGTTTCCGTTTTCTCATCTATAAAAAGGTGAGTTTTATCTACATGACCTCAAAGGTTCTTCCACATCAAAAATTCTGATTCAATGATTTTACAATAGTAAGGGAATCTTACTGATTTAAATGACTTCAAATATCCTAGTCTAAATGAATTAAATCCAGTGCACTAAAATGATTTGCAGATATTTCAAATATCCCATCATTAGTGATTTTTAAGGAATTATAAAGTCTAGAAGTCCTATAGGATCTGAAATGGTCAAATCTCCTAACTTTTTAAAAAGGGCAAACAGATTTTCCAAACTATGGACTAGTGGTCTGGAAATTCATTCCCACCAAAATTCTAGAATGTATTGTTTTAAAAAATGAATTGTGAGTGCTTAGAAAAAGTAGAGTGATAATCACGCATCATTATAGGTTCAACAAGAACAATTCATGACATTCTCTTTTGACAGTGTGGGAGAAAGGACAGACGTCTGGACTTGTAGTTAAAGTTGGTTCAAATCCCACTTCTGACACTAGCATTGTGACCATCACACAACATTTCTAAGCCTCAGGTACCTTTCTAAGACGGATTTATTAAATTACAGATAACCTGTAGTCCCTGATAACTTGACTAGTGGATCAGGTGAATGCTAGAGTTAAAGCATTTGACAATATATGCTATGTGGCTATAGTGACGGTCATATCATCTGAATTTAAGCCAGACATTTATCTAGGCTGAATGTTAGTATAATCAGTAGATTCACAGCTGGCTAAAAGACTGTAAAAAGTGTTAATTAATTTGGACTGATGACTACTATCTGGTGATATGCCTTCAATGGTAGTCCACCAAGACTCTGTCCTCACTTATGTTTGTTTTAACATTTTTATCAATGCCTGGGATAAAGACATAACTGGCATGCTTATCAAATCTGTAAGTGACAGGAAACTGGGAATAACAGCAAATACGGTAGATGCCAAGACCTAGATTTTAAAAGATCCTAATACCCTGGAACAATGGGATGAATTTTATATGAATAAATTTAGTAAGGATATGCCAAAAATCTTTCAGTTAGGTTAAAAAAAATCCAATTGTGCAAATAGAATGGTGACAAACGGTAGCTGGGGGTGGGAGGAATGTTGGTGTGGGTACCTGATTCATTCCACCATTTTCCTCAGTGTGCCCGAGGCCAGGGTTTACATAAGTGTTAATATACATAAAGAGATCCAGAAAAAGCAGAAGCACAGATAAGAACCCAACTGTAGCAGCAATCATGAAGTCCATCCTTGTATGTGTCTGGGATTTTGTTGGCTTCAAACACTTTTCGTTGATAGGAACTAGAACTCCACTTAAGTCTTCAAATATTTATTACACACAAGATAGAGAACATGCTTGAAACATTTTCAAGGATAACAAAACACTTGACAATGATTGGGGAGAGAGGAGGATATACCATACATGCAAATAATTAAGACTTAAGATATAATGTGATGAAACAAAAAGAAACCTGAGTACCCAGAGAAATCTTTAGAGAAAGACAGATCACTTTAAACCGAGGTAATCTGGGAACGCTTTAAACAAGCACCTGTCCAGTGACTCTCCGATTAGCAATGCGAAAAGCTACTAGCACAACTTACTTTGCAGTTTCTATTATCCGTAAGGCCTTTTCTGTGTCTCCTTGCAGTTGGCATAAAAGTCCCAGTTCATACAGAGTAAATGGCACAAGGTAGTGGTCAAATTTTAGCTGTTTCTCACTAGAAATAAAAATAAATCAGTTAGTTTTGATAGTCGGAAGAGGGTACATGTACACCAATATTTTATGCATTCTTCATTTAAACAGATATAAAAACAGCCCTATTTTCTGAACAAATATAATTATTTTTAAATTGACATGTAAAAGAACATAAAAGAAAAAAACTTTTCAAATGAAAAAAATTTTATTGTGTTTTTATTTTAGGCAAAACATTGTCACTGATGTGTCAGGTATGTACATATGCGGCCTCATGACTTATTCCAGAAATGCAAGTCTCTATTTTGAACAAAAACATAACTGATATTTAGGGAAAACCTTCCTTTTAACTCCTAAAGATGATTTTAGAATTCAAAACTATTGTGTTTCATTGAGCAAAAATAAGATAATTGAGAAGGGCAGCTTCTGTTCCCAAGACAACAATCTAGTGACCATTTTCTGATTATAAAGAAAAGCTCATTTCTTTCAGATATTAGACCATGCAATCAAAAAGTGAGTATACATTTCAAACTTACCCTAAAATATTTTGGTCCTAAAATCCTCAATTCTAACGTTTACTTATTAGAGCATCTAATACTGATATGTGCTGTAGGCCCACACTTCTTATGTATCTTATCTTTATACAGATGCCAGATCTCATTTTAAGCACCTCTCTCAGAACTTTATTTTTCACATTTTCACTCTTTCAAACAATCCACACATACATATTACATTAAAAAAAAACTAAAGCTTTTTGCCTCTTCAGAAACAATTTTAACTAGTGCCTCACATTCTCTAATGGAAAAAGCACTACTGCCACCCAAAGACAGCTAAAATCACATCTTGTATTTTAATACTGAAGCTTTTTTCCTAAAAGTAATTCACTATAAGTGACTTCATCCATAATAAATGATAATCTAATTTGCCATTAAGTAACCAAAAAAAACCCCCCAAATCCCACTTTTACATTTTTCTTGAGCTACTTTATAGTTTTTTCCATTTCTACCAAAAATTTCCTTTTTGAAATTTCTCTTTAAGGGGAAAGCATAATGGGAATCAACAGTAATTCCAGGATTGTGCTCGGATTTGGATTTATGTTAAACCACATGTCATACATTAAAATAAGCTCCTATTTCTAAAGCTTCTGAGGGTTTATAAAGCACTTCACTCACAACCCCGCAGAGCACTGACCAGGGTCACATGACCCTTATTTTTCACAGGAGGAAACAGAGCTCAGAGCAGCTGTGACCTGTGCACAGTCAGAAAGCTGGTAAGGTGCTGGAGCCCTTTGCATTCCACCGGGTGCTTCTTGTTGTTAGCTCATGAGAACATGACTCTCTGGCACACACAGCCAAGTTTACTCCTTCTGGGAGTCAGCTTGTAAGGGTGTCCCAAAAGTCTTGGTGCAGCTTCGAACTGCACTAAGAGTTTTTGGACGCCTCAAAGAGCTCTAGACTACAACCATCAGTTGGAGCTGCTGCCCTGTTCATTTACGCAGGTAGGTTCAAAAGTGAGCCACCGTGTGGTACAGTGTTAGCTCCAGAGTCAGAAATACCACTGACAGATTGGCTGTGTGACCCTAGGCAAAACATGTAACCTTTCAGCACCCCAAGAATCTGATTAAGGCTCTAAGTTACAATCAGAGTTCCCAAGTTGTTCTATTGCTGATACTATATAAATTGTTCTCCTGGGTACTGCTCACTTCACTTTGCATCAGTTCATACAAGTTTTCCCAGGATTTTCTGAAACCATCCTCTTCATCCTTTCTTATAGATCAACAGTATACCATCATATTCACATACCATAATTTGTTCAACCATTCCCCAACTGATGGGCAAGGAATAGTTTTGTGAGGCAATTGGGGTTAACTGACCTGCTCAGGGTCACACAGCTAATAAGTGTCAAGTATCTGAGGCGGGATTTCAACTTGGGTCCTCCTGACTCCAGAGCCAGTGCTCTATCCACTGCACCACCTAGCGCCCCAAGGAATTAATTTTTAAACACAAAGTATGGCACATTGTCCACATTATGAGAAATGGCAACAAAGCATAAGATAGTGGCAAGAAAATGACTAAGATTACCATCAAGGACCACCACTAGTACCAAGATTCCTGTCCCTACTTCTACCTGAACCCTCATCAATCGATACTGACTGTTGGATGTCCAGCCCACAGTCCCCTAAGGGAGTAAATTTGGCCTCCCTACCCTGAAATCTACTGACACAATGGAGGGTGCCCTTAGTTTTCCAGTCTCACCAAAAAGCATGAGAAAAGCAATACTACCTTAGGCCTCAGGAATCGTGATGGGCCCAGATACCAGAGCCTCTTGTCAGTAGGACCCCATCCAGGACCAGAGCATGCCCTAACACCAGGCTCAACCAGGAGCCCATTACATGTTGTCTTTTGGATACGTTCCATCCCCCAGTATCTCAGCATGAGACAAAGAAGCCAAGTGCACATTCACCCATTGCCGAAGCTGTTGTTCTTATTGGCTCAACCCCTTCTGCCCTAGTTTGGGAAAGAACAAACTGAAGACACCTTTGGCCATCCCAGAAGCTGAGTGCGGGAACACCAGGAAACAGGTACTTATTCTGGCCTGTGGTTAGCAAACTTCTACTTCCTGCATCTCTCTAATCTCTCTGTGAATCACTGTATACTGAGGTAAAAAAACAACAACAACAACAACAAAAAATAAACCTGGGGCAGCTAGGTGGTGCAGTGGATAGAGCACTGGCCCTGGAGTCAGGAGGACCTGAGTTCAAATCTGACCTCAGACACATAACACTCACAGCTGTATGACCCTGGGCAAGTCACTTAACCCCAATTGCCTCACCAAAAAACAAACAAAAAAACCTTTTATAACTTCTCCTTGCTGTCTCATTCTCATAGATGTTACCTCTCTCCCTCCCTAGTTCCCTACTTCCCAACTTACTCAAACCTGGAAAACACCTTTTCTAGTACTAGATGCAGCTCCTCTAATGCACTTGGCGTGAACAGACACCATGCGTCTCACTGAAACTCTGAGAACCTCCCACTGCCATTACTCAGTAACCTCACCTCCTTTGCAGTTCATCACATCCCACTATATCTCCCTATCAAGAACCTAAAGGTAGTTACCTCCCAGTTCAACCACAGTAAACATTTATGAAATGTCAATGTGCTGGATAACTTAAGTGCTGGTGATACGAGGACAAAAATGAAACAGGCCCTGTCTTGTAGGATCGTGAATAGCCCCAAGTCACTCTCCCACCCATCTTTCTTGAGTTCAGGACTTGGCTCACAGTCTTCCTCTCTATTCCAACCCCCAATCTTACACTCAGGGACAATGTACTTGCCAATGCCTCCCTCAAATACCCAGGCCACCCAATTCCTCAACCTTATCAGCTCCTATGACCCGCACCTTCACTCTACCTCAGCCACACGTAGTCCATACCTCAGACTTCACCTTTGTCGTCAACAACCACGCAACCTCCGCGATCCTAAACTCTGCAGTTTCTCTCTCTGATCACATCCTCCTAGTCACCTGTCTCCTTCCCACAATCTTTCCTAAACCTACTCGCCGTCTTCATCACAACCTCTTTATTTCTCCCAACACGTCATCGTTCTTCTGGACTCACTTTTTGCTTTGGCCCCACAGTTAACCAGTTTAGCCATACCCTTGCTCCTGTGTTCTACTGCTACTCACGTCTTTGGTCAAACAAGTTACACAACTGGGCCGATGCATCCAGATTTATGCCATGTGCCCTTACTGCTGCAGAGCAGTATTTTTATATATTCTTCTCTGATTAGCACATGACTCATATCAACTATACCAAACCTTCTCTTCACTCAAACCCCGCCAAGATTATTGCCTGCTTCTTCTCTCTTCAGCAGAGAGCTGACATGAGCTCCCTCTTCTTTTCTATTCTACATCTAAAACATCTCAAAATAATTTCTCATTCTCTCTTCCTTTGCTTCAGTCTTTGAAGAAGAGGTACTTTTCTTCCTCGCCAAGGCCAATCTCTCCTATTTGAATCCATTTCCTCCCTTCCCCCCTCCATTATTTCTTGAAGTTTGCCTTTTCAATCATTCCCTCTCTCACACTTATTGTCAATCTCTCGTTACCTAATGGCTCCCTCTCCAACATCACTCCTATAAATTACAGTATCCCACTGCCAATGTCTTAATGGATATCTCATTGGCTGGATGCCCTGTTAGCATCTCAAAATCAAAGAACCCAAAATGGAACTCTATTTTTATAATCAGCTGGCAAATTTTATTTTTCTATCACTTGCTACCAAATCTCTTGCATCCATCCTTTTCTTTCCACTCACACTGATATTTATCCTAGTTCAGATTCTCCTTACTAACTCTGACTCCTGCAAAACTCAGTACCTCTTCTAGACAACTACAAAACCCTCTAAATAAGTCCCCCCTCTCTAATCCATCATTCACATAAATACCAAAATAATATTTGTAAGGCTCTGCTCTGACTATGACACGTCCCTGCTCAAAACTCCAGTAGCTTCCTGATGCCTCTGGATTAAAATGTAAACTCCTCCACTTAGCATGTAAAGCCATCAGCAATCTGACCCAATATGCATGTCCTGACACACTGCACATTACTGCCGTCATACATTTCCTGTTCCTGCCAAACTAGCTCACAAGCTGTTCCCTGACTTTGGGATTCCATCTCCCATTTTTATGCCTTTGCAAAGGCCATTCTCCATATCTGGAGCGCACTCCCTCCTTCACTTCAGCCTCTTCAAATCCTTAACTTTCTCCAAGGCACAGCTCAATTGCAACCTCCAGTATGAATCCTTCCTTGACTCTCAACCTCCAAAACAGTTAGGAGTGTTCACTCCCTTCTCATATTATCTTGTTTTTACTTATCTGTATAAATGTTACATCTCCTTGTATAAAAGAGCTCCTGGAGAGCAAGAACTGCTTTCATCCTTGTCTTTGTATCTCCAGTACTGAGCACAGTGACATCTGTCTAATGGTGGTGATGGTGGTAGTGGTAGTGGTGGTGGTGGTGGTGGTGGTGGTGGTGGTAGTAGTGTTGAGTCATTTTCAGTTGTATCCGACTCTTCATGACCCAATTTGGGATTTCTTGACAAAGATACTAGAGTGGCTTGCCATTTCCTTCTCCAGATCATTTGACAGATGAGGAAATTGAGGCAGGGTGAAGTGACTTGCCCAGGGTCACACAGCTAATAAGTGTCTGAGGCCAGATTTGAAGTAACGGAGATGAGCCTTCCTCAAGCCTGGCACTCTATCCACTATACCATCTACCTGCCCATTCATCTAGTAGATAAGAAGGAAATGTTGGTTAAATTCAAGGCAAAGAAAAAAGAGCAGTACTTGCCTATTATTCCTCACAATGCACTTTTCCATCATACTTCCCCAATCCCACCCAAAATGAATTTAACGTGGACATTCCTTAAGTGTCTGAAAGTCACCACATGAAACAGATCTCATCCAAACAAACAAGTCATTTCTCAAAGTAATTCTCAGCTCAGTTAAACAAATATCACTGACTCTAGGATTTGAAAATAGAAATGTCTGGCCTACCCTTTATCCAGAGTTAAAATACCTAAATAGACAGTAATGAACACAGAATCATGTTTCTCTCAGCCAAGGTCCACATCTACATACTGCAGGTCCTTAGCTAGAAAGGATTTACTCCCATTTCTCCATTAACTCTTTCTTTTTTTCACTGTGGGGAGACAGTATGCTGTAGCTGGAATAGTTGCAGCAAAAAGGAATATTCTCTTTTGACTCTTGACTCTCAGTAAAAATGGTAATGGCAATAAAGTGGCCATTGGTGAGGAACCTAGGCACAGAAATAGGCCAGATCCAGGAACAGAATCTCCAATATGCTTATTCATATCAGTGGAAAGAGTATTCCTGTTTCAAAGAAGATAGAAATGTTCTACAGAAAATGAGCAGACATTATTGAAACTAGTCACCTGGAATTCTTACCTAGTCCAGAATTATATTGGTCAAGTAGGTCAGAAATTAATTGTTTAAATGTAAACCTTAAATATCAAAGGCAAGGTACCTCCACTTAGGTGTCCATTATCCAAGGACCAACCCTAGCTAAGTTCGGAAATACAGATCCCTTGAATGTGAAACTTTTTCTTCTTTTTTTCTTTTTCGTTTGAGGGGAAGACAGGCACAGCAATTTGTGAAACTATTAAAGCATGTAAGGATTGGGATACAATCGCCATCAGTGAAGGAAGACCTACACTGAAGAATTAATGTATCTTTTCAAGTAAATTCAAGACATTAAGGAAAATTCAAACTTCAATCCAACCAACCTAAAAGTTTTCAGGAAAATTAAATAAACACAATAAGCCACCACACTGTATTATCCAACAGCAAAGAGACTGTAACAACAAGAGGTCAGAGTGCTCTGCATCCATCTCTCAGAGCAGCACTCAAAAAACCAACAACAGGATATCCTTGCATGGCTTTTTATTTTTACCTTTGAATAACCTGATTGAAACACAGTTCAGCTTGTAAGAGTCGTCCTAAGTGCTTCAGACAGAGACCTTTCAGTAACTGCACCAAACAGTGGTCATCCGTGAAGTAATCATTGCACTCTTAAAACAGAAATGAAAAAAAAATTATTTTACAATTAAATTTAAAATCAAAAGCTAGAGCTGTCATTTATGAAATTTCGCTTAAAATTGTGGGAAATGTTTGTCATTTCAAATTATGAAAACTTATGTTCTTTCTCTCAAGATAGTGCTTATGATCCTCCTGGAGTATATCAATCCTATTTTAAAAAACAAATGTTTGTTCTTAAAGGATGTTATTTTTATTTATCAAGAATTTAAACTCTACCTACTTTAAAATGGATTTGAGACAGCTGCAGGCCAAATTTCAAGGGCCCAAATGCAGTGCTGGGGAATCCGAAAGGCTAAAAAAGCCTTGAGACCCAAGAGAAGGCTGCAGGAAGTCTATCAGAAGCAAGGCAGTAACAAGGGGGTCGTCTTAGCTTGTTGCTGTGCTTCATCGCAGTGTTGGCTGCATCAGGAGGAGAGGGTAACACACACATATGGAGAGACAGATGGCTTCATACCCATTAAAAATTCAGGAAGTAAAATACCCTCTTCAGATCATCTTGTTTACAACTCATTATCAATTCTCCTAGGTTCCATTCTTTTTGAAAAAGAACTACCAAATAAAATTAGACAAAACAGTACTAAGCCAGATGAAAGGCATTTTCGGTTTTGATCAAACTCCTGACCACCTGACTAAAAATATTAAGAAGATCTCTTTTAAAGATTTATCTTTACCTTACACTTAGACCATAAAAAGTGAAAACTGAGTATACTATTTAAGTCAGGGAATGGTGTGTGACATCCATCCAAATAAGATGGCCTTGGATATGACCTCTTTGCTGTGTTTAATTTTGTGAACCATTCAAATTGTTTTTTCAAGTGAGGTGTGGAAAAGAGGATTGGGGAATTGCAAATGCGCATAACTGAATTTTTTAGTAGCTCAAAATTCAGATTAAATGAGACTGAAACTAAGGGGCGGGGGGAGGCATGGGGCAAGACAGAGTCATTCCAATCCCAGAACAAAATTAAAGTGCAAATTCAAAGACTAGGTAAGAATTTCTAGTCACACTCGAAAAAGGAAGAAAGGGAGGAAGGGAGGGGGAGGGAGAGAAAGAGGGAGGGAGGAAGGAAGGAAAGAAGTTAGGAAGGAAGGAAGGAAGAAAGGAAGGAAGGAAGGAAGGAAAAGAAGGAAAGGAGATTAGAGAATCTCTAGTCCCTTTCTCTTTTCATCCTGAATTCTCTCCTCTACAAACTTGAGAAATATTTCTTAATACCACCTACTGAAATGTGTAATATTTCGGAGAATAAACTGCTACCTGAGGGAAAGCTGATGATACTACTTAGTACCCTAGAAGGGAACTCCTTTACTTTGAAACAACTGAATTCATTTTCATGTTCTGGCAGTTGACTTTAACCAGAGACTTGGAAATCATGCTACTTTTTCAAAGAACTCTCAACATTGTTTTAAGTGTCAAGGATCCTTATAAAAATAAATATTTAAGAAAGAAAAACTTTGGAGACCCAGAGGATAATCCAATTTCTCTAACAGGAACAATGGAATAATTTGCAAACATAGTTCCAGTTACTCAGGTGACCTCTCAGTCCCATAATGAGGAATCCATCTCTAAAGAAACTGCAAAAAGTAATGTATAAAAGCAATATGTAAATATCTATTATTGTGATTGTTATGATTAAGGAACCTTCACTTTGAGCAAATTTTAGTATCCTGAGATTAAGAGCTGAAAGAGATCCTAGAAATCATCTCATTTAACTCACACATTTTACAGATAAGAAAACTTAGGCCCAGAGAAGGGAAGTGACTGGTGCTCAAAGTTAGTCAAACAAAATAATCACCATGGCCAGGATTCTTTCTGAAGTCCTCCAACCTCAAAACCAATGTTCTCTCCCTTCAATTATGCTACCTCTGCATCATTTTATGCTGTAAAGAGTTATGGTAACATTCTGTCAATTGTGCTACCAAAGTGGGTGTGGACACCATGGAATGGATTTCAACGAGTAAATGAATAGCAGAGACATTCTAAACATGTCATCAGGAAATACGGGCCTTCCTTTCATTCATAAGATAAGAGCAGAAATAAAACAGTTAGCTCAAAGTTACCCTATTTCTCCAAAATCCTTACTAAAATAATTGTCTTTTTTTCAAGGTGCATAGCTTTCTGAGAACCATGATAGTTATATAATTCAAAATATAAATCATGAAATCATGGGACTCAGAGCTAGAAAGACCCTTAGAGATTTTACAGATGAGAAACCTGAGTACCAGTGGAGGGGAAGTGATTTGTTCAGTCACATTAGCAGTCAGATTTTAAACCCAGATTATCTGATTCCAAAGCCAATTTTTTTTTCACTACACCAAATAACCTTAGAGATTAGAAAACATTTATTTCTGCTAACATACCAGATTTTGGAATCAGTTAAAAAATAATGCTGAGTAAGACCTGCTGACATTTGTATTATGTTAAACTAAAGGACATTTTTTGTTGTTGTTCAGTCATTTTCAGTCATGTTTGACTCTATGTGACCCCATTTGGGGTTTTCTTGGCAAAGATACTTGAAATGGTTTGTCATTTCCTTTTCCAGCTCATTTTACAGATGAAAAAACTGAGGCAAACAGGGATAAGTTACTTGCTCAGGGAAACACAGCTAATAAGTGTCTAAGGCCAGATTTGAACTCAGATACTCCTGACTCCAGGCCTAGCACTGTATCCACTGCACCACCAAGCAAGAAGCTGTTAGGTCTCTCTCTCAGTGAATCTCAATGTTACAATATGGGATTTTAATTTGTACGTAAAATTCATTTTTAAAAACATAAAATAGGTGTAGCAAGTGCAAAATATGAGAAGCAACAAAGGAAAACAGAAGACTTCCTTTTCTATAACTCAGGTAATCTTTATGACATGTGGCAATGTACCAAATTAAGTCAGCTTTTGTGTCAGGAAGACTTAGATTCCAGGCTTACCTCTGATGCATACTAAATGTGTGACTACGGGCAAATCACTTAACCCTTCAGTGCCCCAAACAACTGGCAAAGACTATAAATTACAGGAAAGTTGTCAAGATGCATCAATGAATGGAGTTTCCACACTGAGAGTTCTCTATACTAACAAAATCATAGCTACAAGCCCATACCATGTTTATTACATAGTTTTCCATTAAGCCAATTAAGTTCAACAAATCATATGTTAACTGACAGCTCCCTGTCAGATTTATTTAAAAAATTTAAAATAGACCTCCACTGAAAATGATTATAGGCCACTGACTCTAAGCTGGCTAAAATCTCAACTTTTATAAAAGACCTGGAAAATCGGTCTTCATATCTCCCAAGCAGAACACTTACAAGTGAGAAGACCAAATGCCTCTACTATCATGTTTGACTTCGGTTATTTCTCTTATTTTCTTTAAAGGTCAGAGACACAACAAACAAGTCACCCACCAAAGGCAGGAAATGATGAGGCTGAACTAGCCAGGTTCACAATTCCATTCCCATGTTACAATAACTGATTTCCCCCACTAAGGTCAGCAGCTTGGCTAAAAGGTCAATGCTGCCTCTTGATTGACTGGAGGAAAAAAAATCTTCCTCCATGTACAGGCTGAACAAGAAGCCCTGTCAGCGACGAACAGTGAAAAGAACACATCTGGAGTTAGGAAAGCTAGGATTAAGTCAGAATCAAGTCATTTACTGACTGGACAACTAGGAGCAAGACACAAATTCTGAGCCTCAATTTATTCCTCCAAAATGGGGATGATAATACTTGCATTGATTGGAATTATTAATACCTGCATTTCTGCAGGATTGTTTTCAGGAAAGCACTTTGTAAACTTTGACGCCCTACCATAAATATCTGGAAGAATAACACAGCATCTGGAAAGTGACCTTTAGCAAAAGGCCAATGCTTTCACCTAACGTTTTGCCTCTCCATGGCAGTAGCCTCTTCCTGTTTCTAACGACATTTATGCCCTTGATATGAAACTCTACACCTGCTGCATCTATCACCTCATAATGTCAATATACGAGAACAAGGGAAACAGAGGGAGGCATTCTGAATTGGGTATTTAATTATTCTCCTACTTTAAGAAACTATTTACATTTTACCTATTTGTTCATATTTTAATCCTATGTATTCTTGCCTGTAGTTAACTATTTTCCATATCACGTGCTAGGGCACATCAGCATATATAGAGAAAACCTGTTTGATTTGGTACAGATCATGCTGTTCTCTGGCAGGAGTCCCTGCTACCCAAAGTCTGAACTGCTCTCAATTAGCTGGGCAGTAGGCTCATTGAAAGAAAAGATAAATGCTCCCAGGCCTTTAACAGAAAATTCATAATATAGAAAATTCACGATTAGAAATTTACTCTATTGAACTAACTTATAAGAAGCAAGAAAAAAATCTACATTATTTGTTGCTGTATTTTCAGAAAAATTAAGTGATATTTTATGGGAGAAAAATTATAACAAAGGATACTGTTCACTCAGTGAAAAATGATTTCTTCATCCCTCCATGGACACTCATTCATCCAGCAACACTTATCATGATTAAGTACCTTAAAGGTGGCATAACAGATAAAGTTTTGGGCTTGGGGTCAAGAAGATTTGAATGTGAATCCAATCTCAAAATCTGTCACTTAACCGTTCTCTCCTTCAATTTCAATGACGATAATAATAGTACCCACCTTGTAAGGTTATGGTGAGGATCAAATAAAACTGTACACGCAAAAGACCTTGCAGATCTTAAAGTAGTATAGCATATAAATGTTAGCTATCGTAGGTAAGAAGAAAAATATGGACCACATTGTATTAAACACCTAAGGATGGGGGGAAGTGGGAATGACACCTGCAGATAAAAGTCATGAGTTTTATTTAATGTCTCTATCCTCTAAGTTTTGTCTATAAAATAAGGATAATATCAGTACCTCATGGGGGTTGTTGGGAATAGAGCATTTTATAAACCTTAAACAATTATATAAATGTAAATAGTTGTTAGCAGAAGTATTAGTAGCAGTGACACCTGCACATATATATTTGACCACTGTTGTATCTGAATATTTTAATTAGCTTGTAATACCCAAGGACAGCAACAAATGCCTTTTCTTTTCTGTGATTTGTTTCTGCTCTATAAAACTGTATATTCACAAATTAATAAATGTGACCAAATTAGGTGAATAAAAAGTTAATTTATTCAAGAGACTGCACAGATTTTGTAAAGCCAATTTTAAAAAATCTTAGCTTTAAATTGGTATGGTCATTTATCTGTTCTTTGAAATGTCATGCATTTGAATTCATTTTGCATTAAAGTCAAGGGGAAGTTGTTTTAATTTGGCATGTTCACATCAATATGGCAGGTCTGTCAGATTAGTATGGTTATAGGATTGTAAAGCTGAAGACAACACAGAGGAAGAAGTGTGTCATCTTCATAGAGTCTAATATGCTCTTATACATACTTTCATGTGACCCTTTTCCAAACTGTGAAAATCTTTCCCTCCTCTTTGTGTGCTCCCATCTTGGTGCATTGTCTTCTTCGTGCTTCCCTGTAGCCCAGAATTCAAAGGGATTGTTTTTATGTCCATTGCTCAATCCCTGCAGATAAACAATTCAATTTTTTGGCTATTCTACCTAAGCTCCAGCCCAGCTATGGTACTGAAGTTTTATAACTTTTCTGTGAAAAGGGGGTGAGGAAAAAAGAAAAAAAAAGTTGTATAGTTTTAGTTGCATAGTTATTCTTTTGGAAATTCACTCTCCTTCATATATAAGGTGACATTAATGATCTATCTGTCAGTAGAGTTATTTTGAATTTTTTCAGTAAAAGAACAGAGTCATCTATTATCTCTTACCTGATCTTCCCTGTGACCAATGATCCTAGTTGTGAGATGACTGGATGGGGTTAAAGGCTCATCAGTGGCCATTTTTCCTCTGTGATTTCAAAGTTCAGTGGCCTATTTGGGGCCTACAGAATCATACAATCTTAGAGGAGATGGAGACTTCAGATTACATCTAGTCCAAGGGTTCTTAATCTGGGGTCCATGGAGCCATAAAGGATCTATGGATAGACTTAACAAGGTCCATGAAATTGGATGGGAAAAACACATCTTTATTTTAATATAATTGGTTTCTGTTGTAATAATTTTATCTTATATATTTAAAAACATTATGTCCATAGGCTTCAACAGACTGCCAAAGAGGTCCATAATGCAAAAAAGGTTAAGAACCACTGATCTCATACACCTTTCCAACCAGTAAAGGAATCCCTTCTGCAACTTTCTTAACAAATGGTTTGGATTTCACTTAAATAACTCCAGTGATAATGAGCTCCCTAATTTGTCAGACAGTCTGATCTGTTATTTAACAGCTCCAAATACTAGAAAAATCCTTACAATGAACCATTATCTGTCTTCCTTTCAATTTTACCTCTGCCTTCTGGGGGTGACATTGAATTACTATATTCCCACTTTCCCATTATATACTTACAAATAATTAAAAGAGTGCTATCATGTCAACCTCCTGTCTTTTCTTTTCCAGGTTAAAAATGCCGGATACATCAAAATCTTTTCATTTAACATGATTCTCAGATAACTTAACCTTCTGGTTACCTTTATATTGATATTCTCCAGTTTAACAAGACCTCTAAAAATGTGGTTCCCAGAACTAACCACAGTATTCCAGACTAGATCTGACTAGGTCCTAATTAGTGTGAATAATGAATCCTGTGATTGGTCCCATATATTCAAATTCACACTATTGGAAGTTATAATTGTATAAATATGGTGAATAGTTCCAACCCAATGGAAATATGCAGCACATATCTAAATGATGCATTAGATTCACTGTTGTTCTCACTAATTGGTACCAAGCTATAATGCAGAACACAGTGGGACATGGTCCTCCTCTCTTGATGTCTTTTAATGAAACCTAAGTTTGCACTAGTTTTTATTAGCTTTTGTATCACAATGGTGGCTCATTTTGCAATGAACTAAAACCCGCATAGCTTTTTATCATTAACTTCTATTCAAGTCTTTTCCACCCTCCTATAGCTGTACAATTCATTTTTTGAAATGAAATGCAGGACTTTATATTTATCCCTGCTCAATTTCTTTTTTTTTGTATCAACCCGTCATTCTAGTCAATTAATATCCTTCTGAACTTTGATTCTGTCATACAATATATTAGCTATCCTCTACATCTATATATTGATAACCACACCTTCTTTATCCAAGTCACTGATTTTTTAAAAAACATTACTAGTAGAAATCCAAATATAGAGCTTTCGACCTATATCACTAGAAAATTTAGAATAACTAGCAATTTCACTCCAGATTAACAAGGTCAGTATTTTTTTTCACCGTTGTTATTCAACTAGCTTCAAATCCAACCAAGTGAATGTAGTCTGCATTTATCCATCTTGTTCACAAGGATACGATGAAAGACACTACCAAATGACTTGTTGAAATTAAACAACAGACATCTCTATAAAGGTCCTCTAATCTCCCAATCATATGATGCTATTAAAAAAGGAAATGACATTTTGATTTAATGTTCTTAGTGAACATATGTTGGTTCTCATCATCACTGCTTTTTTTTCCCTTTCTAAATGTTAACAATCTAATAATCCCCTCTAGAATATTGCTAAGCATCAACAGTAACTTCACTAGTCTATCCCATAATCTTAAATTTATTAACAGCATGCATTAACCAAGGTAAATTACTTATCTGTAATTATTTTATCATCAATGGAGGAAAAATGTAATTTATGACCAAGTAGCAGTAATTTTAGAAGTGATAAAAGCCCTTTCATAATCCAACTCCACCCCCTCCCCACCTTTCCAGTATTCTTACACCTTACTCATCCCCACCTGCTCTGTGATCCAGTGACACTGGCCTTTTTCCTGTACTTCAAACAAGACGCTCCATTTCAACTCCAGGCATTTTCACTGGCTGACCCCCACACCTGGAATGCTCTCCTTCGTCATCCTCCCCTCTTAGCTTCCCTGGCTTCCTTTAAGTCTGAGCTGAAGTCCCACCTTCTGCAAGAAGCCGTTCCCAGTTCTCCTTAATCTTAATGCCTCTCTCCCATGAGATTATCTCTAATTTACACTGTGTGTGTGTGTGTGTGTGTGTGTGTGTGTGTGTGTATTTGCATGTTGTTCCTCCCATCAGTGAGCAGGAACTGTCTTTTTCCCTTTCTTTGTATCCCAGTGCTAAAGCACAGAACCTGGCACATAGTAGGTGTTTAATAAATGCTTATTGACTGATTACAATTTTTTTAAATGTGTTTCATGTTGAAGAATTAATTTAATACTCTATATTTTCTTGGCTTAGCCAAGGCACTTTTATTACTTGTGCATATAAGGAGAAAAATTGGAATACTGACACTCATATAGGTCATATAGATATACTCTTCACTCAAACAGAATATGGCTAATCAACTTATAATCTTACAATTGGGTTAAGAAAAAAAGAATAAATCCGGGAGGGTACAGAATTACAAGAAGAATGGGGCATAGTACAATGCTAGGACTTAGAAGTACAAAGTTAGGGGATTAATCAAGATAGCAGACAGCAGAACAGTGACTGTTTTATGACTATAATATACTAGGAAAAAGCTCCACAAAAAGAGCAGATGTTGTCCATCCACTAAGCAGCACTGTCTCCCATGGGAATACATTTCCTCATAGTTTCTCCATGTTCACAATAACTAGTCTACTCATGGGCTTTTGCAGTGATGTCAGTCTTTCCAGAAGCACAACAAAATCAGATGGGCCATGGCTCCTAGTTTCATACTTAATATCAGAGGAGAATAAGAGAAAATATACCAGTTTTCCATTTTGGTTTGGTTCATGCAGTTTAAGACTGAGAAAAGCATCTGAACTGAGTTCTCATCCATCAGCCAAAAAGCCACATTTACTACTATCTAGAACCAGATCTAGTTAGTTGTAACTTTTTCCAGTCAAGAAAACTATAAACTGAAATTTGGACCAAATCAAAGTGTCCCCTCAGAGATCTTCAGGTGCCTTTGTTCTTTACCATCTAAGAAGCTGCGCTTGACAGATTACAATTCAGCTCTACTCTATAAATCATGACTTTTTTCCCAATAAGTTCTTGAATTTGTGGTTTTTACTATCTTTGATGTTGACCACTTCAATAAAATCTTATGTCCAAGTGATATATGGCCACGTACGTAAGTAGTTATGCTGTTATAAAAGCCAGAGTATTTATGGTAACCCCTTTAGTTTGGTAGCATTACAAAAATGATTTGGAGGCTGTTGGAATGTGAAGGCAATAACTCATGGAATTTATCAAAGACAACTCCTTAAGACATGGAACTAGTTTATAATAGGTAACTCTCTTTCCAAAGTGGGGAAACATTTAAATTTTGATAATATCTCAATATAGAAACAAACATTTCCCCTTTGCATTTCAGAAATCCAAGATTCTCTAACAGACCCCAACAAGATTTCATGGAAATCACAATCAAAATCAGGTTAAAGCAAATTTGCCTGGTGGTGCTCTAACACAGTAACAATTGCTCCATGCAATGCACATGAAGCAGAATCTCGTGGAGAACTTCACTTCAGTGTCTTCTCTTCTCTCCCAATATTTGTCTATGACACATAGGAATTAAAATCATGGGTAAATGAGCTAGAAGGACAAGTGGGAAAGATAGAAAGGAAGAGGTACAGCTTTCACGTTCTTACCTTTCATACTTACTTGTTTCATTTTGTAAAGCTGTTTCTGCTTTTTCGATGGTGATCAAGAGATTTTCTGTGAGGTCAGGCCTTTTGCCTACTACTGTAAAACCATTCCAGATGTACATCATTTCCTAGAGGGGGGCAGAAGGGAAAGAGTCAAGAATCATATTTAACTGATCATATATATATGTGTGTATATATATATATATATAATAAATGATTCTGTATAATCTAGATTTCTGTTGATGACTTTTAACACATTTTTAAAATGCATGCCTGTTGTTTACATAAAATGTTTCCAAGAAATTCACTGAAATGAACATTAGGAATATTTTATTGGGCTCATGTTCTTTTATATCATTAAAACATGTTGCAGCCCAGTAATGTGATCCAATATGTGGAAAACTAGTTTATTCAAAGACCATATGGCCAAATGACAGCTCCTGAAAATGTAAACTAATGCTCTCTCACTGCAGGTTACATTTAATAGGCCAAGAGATGAGAATTTTTTCTGACAAAGAACAAATGAGCTTCTTCCCAGAAATATTTCCCTTTTTTATCTGAGAATACTTGAAGGACATAAATACTAAGTAGGAAAAAAACTAAAGAAAAGAAAAAAGTAACATTCACTGAAAAGATTTAAAATTGAGAAGTGATAAATTGGAAAAGAGGCCTTTGAAGAAAACAACAGGGAAAAAATCGTCTTCATTTACAGCACTGAAAACTATACTGAATCCAACTCAGAAAATTATTTTAGAGACAATAATCAGGCATATCTAATACAGCAAGTAATACCTTGTATGCTATGGCTGGTACACTATAATTTTATAACATGGGGAAAGTTACAAAAAAACAGCTTTCATCAGAAACTGAATAAAGATCAACATCTTCCAGGGAATGCACTGGAGTCAGGATGTATTCATTCCAATCTCCTATACTGTATCCTCTACCAAACTTAAGCTAGGATGTTTGGGGAATTTCCTCTAAGTAGATTCAGTTATATCAATCAACCAACCAAAAAGCATCCACTAGATCCTTACTATAATAGGGACACATTTTAGAAAGACCGTACACAAAAAAACACTGAAATAATGTACAGGTTGGTAATTAACATAGAGGTAAATAGCATATTCTGCACAAGTCAATTACCTCTCAGTGTCCACAGGCAACTTCAGACAATAAACTGCAAAGAGTTCTACATCCCAGGGTAAATCTGAATTTTAAATTAAGCAAAATGCCCAGAGTTTTGTACATGGTGCCTGTGGGTCTCATGTTATCACTGTAAAATGAAGGGGATTACGCTGGATGTCCTCTGAAGTCCCTTCATGTTTGAATTCTGTAATCTTCTGACCCAGTCCTAAAGCACTATGACTAACCGAGGTTTTTCTGTAGTTACTTTCTAGTCATAATTTGTGATCAAACTACTGATACACAGTAGAATATGAAAGCAACAATCAAGCATTTTTTCAAATGTCAAAAGTCAAACTTTTTGGATAAGCTCATACCTTTAATTCAGCTATGCAAGAACAAGAGGGGAAAAAAATCTTAGGTGTGGCAACTGTGAGTAGCCACAGTGGTTAAAACAGCTGAACAAACAGCAGAAGAGATATAGTAGAAGAGATAGGCACTCCCCATTCCTGTCCCCAGGTTTGGCAAGGAGAATGGCCACTAAGATGAACTAAATAAAGAAGGAAACCATAAATGAAGCAAAGGTAACTTAAAGTGAGGACTGGGCAAAGATCACAGAATTCAAGCTTGAAGGGACTTTTGACGTCATCTAGTTTAATGCCTACGGGACACCCTCAACCCCCATCCCTGTTCTACAATGAAAACCTGAGATCCAGAGGCCATGTGACTTTCCCAAGTCATCTAGGTAAAACCAGGATTTGAACACAGATTTTAAGACACCATGTATAAAACTCTGAGCATTCTGGTTAATTTTAAATTTCAGATTTAATTTAAATTTCAGAGGGGTATAGGACCCCTCTACATTTTATTGTTTAAGAGTTGCCTGGGGACATGAAGAAGTTAAGTAGGAAAGATGCTGGTTTCAAATCCAGGGCTGTCCCCACACCATACTTGTCTTCTTACACCGTTGGGAAGGTACTGTGTATTACAATGAAAAAAGGGTGAGATTTAGAATCCTAGGACCTGGGTTTGAATCCTGGTCCTGCTACTTATCTGCCTATGTGACCCTGAACAAGTCCACTAACCTTTCTTGGTTCTTAATTTCCTTATTTACAAAATAAGGGAGTTGGAGGACTGGATTACGTCTAAGATTAATTTCAACTCTAAATACGTGATCCCATGAATCTCACATTGTGACTCTGGCCTTGTCTCTTTTTTTTAAATAAAATATGAAAAAGTCAGTTAAAACAAGTTCTAGTGAATTAAGTGGGGTTGGGGGGGGGGGGGAACAACCTTCTTGTAAAAGGAAAGAAATCATTTGAACAGTGATACTACTTTATATTTAAACTCCTGACAGAAGTACACACCACCAAGAACCATCCTGAAATCTTACTGTAACACTATTTTAATAGTACTGTTTATAATTTTTAAAAAAGTACTGTTTTTAAAAGATCTAGAGAGAACTGCATGTTCCATCTCAGCTCATCTTTTTAAAATCCCTTCAACGTATAAGGGGAACAAGTATTTCTCACACACACACACACACCCCACGCACCTAATAATAAAAAAAAAAATCCATCATCAGAAATCCATGTGTGTGCAGCTGAACTTTGTACAATTAAAAACACAAATTATTTCAGGAATTATAGCTTGATACTAAAACACTGCAGAGGTGGGTAGACCCTAATGGCCCTCCGCCACCAAAGGACCATTCTTTATTGTTATAAGGAGTATAAAGTACGTTTCTCTCAACAGCCCTGTGAACAGGGTAGTGAAAATCTCACCCTTCTTCCACAATGGTGAATGATGGCAACAAAACCTAGGAAGTGACCTGGGTCCTCAGATCCTCACCCAGTCCTCAAGAGCTAATGGAGCACAAACTCTGACAGGTCCAGTCAAGCTGGAAAAGGTTAGAGTTGGGACCCCGTGATGAACACTGTGTCTGTCATCTGAGGATCAGTCTGACTAAGTTGAAAGAGGTTCACCATCAAGGCAGTTGTAGGGTAATGAATTTTTTCATTACAACAACTCTCTAAGACCACTGATTAAGTCATAAAAGTGCTTCAATCTGCCATAGGAAAGAGAATCTACACAAATGAAATCATAGATCACTGAAATTAGTATCTTATAGATAAGGAAACTGAGATCCTAAGAAATCAATTGGTTAACCCAAGGTCATAAGAAGGTGCTAGAGTTAGGATTGGAACCTGGTCTTTCCAACTCCCAGTCTAGCACTCCTGCTTTCAACTACACCACACAGTGACTCATTTGTGTTAACTGATTAAGTGGAAATGACTTAGCAAAAATCTCAAGCAGCCTGTACTTCTGGGATCAGTAAAGCTACATGTTGGAAGACGAGGTACTACAATATTAGGCTGTTCCTGAAAAGTGCCATACAAAAAAAATCTAACCAGGATTAAGAAAAACTATTCATCTTTGTTACTGATCTTCTGAAATTAGAGAACCTGAGGTTTCATCTTCCATTCAACTACTTCCTGAGTAATCTTGAGTTTAACTTAACATCTTAATATCATCAATATCCTTATCTGTAAAACAACAATATGGACACCTGCAGTATTGTCCAGAGGGCTGCTGTGAGGAATTCCTTTGTGAACCTTAATTCAAACCTACATAGTAGGTGTGATCATCTTTACAGATGTTAAAAATTAAGAGGGCTACTCAATTCTATGCAATTTAACTTATATACCTCAAATAGCTGCCAAAGTAATTCACAAAGGACAGACTAAATAAAAAATGAAAAAAGTACAGATCAGATACCACTTTCTTACAAAATTCTACCAGCCAGATAAACTGTATATATTTAAATTTACAAGAGATAATCCAGAAGCTTAAAACTAAGCTCAGGAAGAAAAGATTTTCCATTACAATTCCCAAGATAAAAATAAAACCACAAGGCCTAAACTCAGCATTGCTGCTGATGGCTGACATTTCTCCATTTTTTTGTGTGTACAATTTAACTCCTTACAGAAACTAAAGCTTTAAAGCTACAAGTGATAATTTTGTGAAGAGAAGTTATTTTGGGGGAGTATCTTCCATTAAGAAAATCCCTAGGGGCACAGTGGATACAGTACAAGCCCTGGAGTCAAGAGGATCTGAGTTCAAATCCGACCTCAGACACATAACACTCACCAGCTGTGTGACCCTGGGCAAGTCACTTAACCCCAATTGCCCTCACCAAAAAAAAAAAAAAAGAAAAGAAAAAGAAAAAAAAAAGAAAAAGAAGAAGAAAAAAAAAGAAAAAGAAAATCCCTGCATTTTTTAAACAGGAAAAAAAAATCTGAATGTAAATGTGCAAGTTACAGAAATCCTTTATAAATGTATAAAATTGAATAGAACTGCTAGAAAAAAATTAGATGGAAAATTATTTTTGCTGCCACTAAGACACAAGTTTACTTTAGTCTTCAAACACAAGTAAAAAGAAATAGAGGTGGCTTACCAGAGCAGGTAATATCAGCTTTACGGGAAAGGCCGCACTGGAATAACGCCGGGACTTCCTCACTGCAAACTTCTCTGTTGGGATAGATTTGCCAGCAATTCTCTGCTTCAAGCCCTCCACCTGCCTGTAATAATTGCCAAGCCACAAAAAAAAAAAAAAAAAAAAAAATTAAAAAAAATCTGCAAGTCCATGTGCTATCATTTTACTTAATGAGTTAGGGTCTCTGATATTAAAAGCAGTTTCACAGGTAGCAATCTGGTTAAGAGCAGCAAGTTCTACAAGGTTTAAAAATCAATCTGAATTTTCTTCATGTGACCATATATGTGTCATGAGAGGAGAGGGAATTAGCAAGGAATTAGCTACCAGAATTAGCCACTGAATTCCCCAGCAAAGCTGATAAAGATTTGTAGAATAAAGCAGCTCAAAAGAGTATCTGTCAACTAATTTAAGCACAAGTTATTTATTATCGATCATTATCTATTTAGTCCATATCAATCAATCTTAAAGAAATGAGGGCCTCTGGAAAGGCAGAATGTACATATTCAGCCTCTCAAAGTGACTTTTTTTTTTTTTTTGGTAAGGGAATTGGGGTTAAAAGACTGACCTAGAGTCACACAGCTAATAAGTGTTATGTGTCTGAGGTCGCATTTGAACTCAGGTCCTCCTTAGTCCAGGGCCAGTGTTCTATCCACTGCACCACCGAGCTAACCCTGACAAATCATTTTCTCATGCTATAGAAGATTTCACAGAATTAATACGATCACTCAAATCAAGACAGGACCGCCTTGGGAGATTCTTTTTACTTTGTAGTTTCTCTTTCACATTACCTTCATCTCCTCAGCATATACCTTGCATGTACCTAGTGATTTACCTGCTGCCTTCCCCGTGAGAAAATACACTCCTTGAGGGCAGGGACTGCTTTCTGCTGTCCTCTGTACCTTGCCAGTGCTCAGCAGAGGGTCTGGCACAGAGGAAGAATAGGCTGGATGCTTGTTTGGCTTCAACACTCCCTAGGGCAGGCACTGCCTCCACTGCTGCAATTTCTCTCCAGCCTGGTATCTGCTCTGGCTACAAGATTCATCACCCTGAAGCCATCCTGGTGATGAGCCTGGCCAGATCTTAACTACAGGAGCAAAGTCTTGGAAAACACAGACCCAGAGTGGAGGGGCTGAAGGGAAACGGGCATGATGACATATTGTTGGTGGAGGGAATTTGTCCAGTCATTCCAGACAGCAATTTGGAACTATGCCCAAAATGTTACAGGCATGCTCTCTGACCCCGAGATATCACTACCAGACCTATATTCTAATGAAATCAAAGAAAGAATGTCCTATATCACAAAAATATTTATAACAACTGCTTTTGTAGTAACAAATACCTAGAAACTAAGGGGGGGGGAGTGATGGGGGAGAGGAGTGTCCATCAATTGAAGGGCTGAACAAATTAGGGTATATGACAATAATGGAATACTACTATGCTTTAAGAAATTAAAAAAGAGAACTTCAGAGAAACCTAAGAAGACCTGCACTAACTGATACAGAGTGAAGTGAGCAGAACCAGGAAAATGATTAATACTATAACATCAATATTATAAAAATGAACAATTCTGAAAGACTGCCTCTAAAAACTCTTAATACAATGATTAACTGTGATTCCAGAGGAATGAAGATGAATGCTGCCCATCTCATAACAAAGAAGTTACAGATTAACATGCAGAATGAGAGACACATTTTCAGATGTGACCAATGTGGGACTTTTTTTTTTTTTGCTTGAGTATGCTGTACTTTTATGGTACAAAAGATTTTTATGGGGGCAGCTAGGTGGCGCAGTAGACAGAGCCCCGGCCCTGAAATCAGGAGAACCTGAGTTCAAATCCGACCTCAGACCAAACACTTGACACTTACTAGCTGTATGACCCTGGGCAAGTCACTTAACCCCAATTGCCTTAAAAAAAAAAAAAAGATTTTTTTTATGGAGAACCAACACAAAAGGAGCACTCATATGGAGGTCAGAAGAAGTAATACAAGGACACTCTCAAGGTCTCTCTGAAGAATTTTGGAATTGATTGCTTGACATGAGAGACAATGGCAAAGGATTGCCCAAGATGGTGTGCCCACATTAAAGAAGGCACGATGCTCTATGAACAAAGCAGAACTGCAGTTGCTCCAAAGAAGCATGAGATGTGCAAATTTAGAGAGATCTCCACTCCAAATGTTCATGTTGGTTATTTGTGCCTGACCTGTGACAGAGCCTTCCAAGCTCACACTGGTCTGATCAGACATAGTTGGACACAATGTACCTTGACACCAACATAGTGATGTCATTTTGGTCTTCTTCAAGAACAAAGAATGACAAACAATGTTAACACGGGTTTTATATTTCTTTCTCTCCCCTCCAGTAGGATGGAGGGGAGATGGGAGGCAGAAAAAATAAATACTAGATAAATGAATGAAACATTATTGAAAATTTAAAAAAAGAAAGAAGGAAAAGAAAATGCAGAGCTAAGCTCAGTGGTATGACAGGACATTAAAGGAAGACAGTGTAGAGAGAGTATTCCATGGTTTTAAAACATAATCACAAAAACCTTTTTTAATGCTTTACTTGCAGCAACTTAAAGCCCAATATAACAGTCAATTTCCCTCTATTGATCTGATTCTGAGTCACTGGCAGCTGTGTGTTACAACAAACTATAAAAAGCAAGCTCCAGCAGTTCCTACAAGTTGGAAAGAATTTGAGAAAGGACCCAACACTGGATTCCATGTGTGTGCTGTATAGAGACCAGCCTAGGCTAAGTTTGGAGAGGCTCATCAGCGGATCAGATGGAGGATGACAGATTTTCCAGCACATTAATTTTCACAGACCACCTAAAATATCTAGTAAGGATGTGATCTGTATAAGCAGAAGGAAGACCCACACTGATGAAAAGCAAATCCCCAAAATACTTAAGTAAAAATATAATCATCTAAGAAACAATCTAATAATAATCACATGAAAAAATGTTCAAATTCACCCACAATCCGAGAAATGCTATTCAAGACAATCTTAGGATATCATCATACATATGAGAATGGCAAAAATAATAATGATGATAATCAATGCTAATGTTGGCAGGACTGCAGGGAAAGGGGCCACAGAGTTAGTACAAGGAAAGAGCATGGATTTAAATCAGACCATCATGGTTTAAATTCTGGTTCTGTAATTTACTGCCTATGCTACTTTGAGCAAGGTCCTCAACTTCTCATCCATAAAATGAAGAGTTTGGATTATATGACTTGCCAACTCCCTTATAGCTCTAAATCTATAATCCCATAATGTGCTATTAGAGGAACTGCAATAAGAATCACAAAACTGAGGAATTCCACTGCTAGGATTCCACTGCAAAAACCAGATCAAAAAAGAAAAATAAAAAAGGACCCATGTGTACAAAAATATGAATATGTACTCCCTTTGTAATAGCAAAAATAGCTGAACAATGTAATGAAATGTTATAATGCTATAACTTATTAGCCATGTGACCCTGGGCAAGTCACATAACTCTATTTGCTTGGCTTCCTTATCTGTAAAATGAGCTGGAGAAGGAAATGGCAAACCACTCTAGTATCTTTACCAAGAAAACCCCAAATGGGGTCATGAAGAATCAGACCAGACTGAAATGATTCAACAGCAAAATTAAAATGATAAACATAAAGCATACAAGGAAACACAGAAACATGTATATGAGGTGATGCAAAGTGAAACCAACCTCACTTGAACTATCTATATACATGTGGACAATAACCACATAAAGTAAAACAAGAAAGAAGGAAAACAAAGCCAAAGGTGGGAGATAATCCAGCAGCCCTATTAGGAAAGAGAACACAAACATTTTGATTCTTTGAATTTCTTTGGTTTTTTCTTAGTCAAGGTTAAGGGTCTGGAGTAAGATTCTGTTTACTGCACTAAAGAGGTTAGAGGTTCCTGCTCCAAATGAAGGACTGTCCAGGGAAAGAGGAGAAAAATCTACGATAGGGGATACATCAGGGTAATGATAGATAGGGTCTGCCCCGACAAGTGGCCTCCTGTTGCAGTGATAATATCCTCTTTACCTAAACAGAGACACAATATTCTCTCCAGTTGGCTTCACCTCTTCATCTGGGAGCATACTTAGGATTGCAGCTTTCTGAAACACATATATTGCCTTTAAAGAAAAGAAAAAGAAGTCAATTTTAATGTAACCCTAAATTCCTGGCATTTCTACAATACTGCATTTCAAGAATAATATGCACATTTTCCAGAAGCTACATGGAAATAATAAGACTATCAGGAAATTTTAAAATATCTCCAAATGAGCAATAATGACCAGTTTCAATTGACTCTACTAAACCAATAATTGTTCTAAAACACAAATAACAGTTCACTCCAGTGAAAGAATAATAGAATACAATACCTCGATGCTCCCAACCATTTAAAAATTTCTTTTAAAGACAATCAATTTTTTCCTTAACGATGAGAAAATGCAGAAGGTAGAACTAGGTCGAATACCCAGGTATTTTGACTCCATGGCCAGTAAGTACTCTTTCTACCATTCCTCGCTGGTTCTCAATAATTATCAGCTGATTTTATCAACTCCCATGTGGTGGAGCCAGGATTTGATACAGTACTCAATTAAATGATGTCCAACCAAACAAAAGGACACACTGTGATTCTCCTGAGAGGTAAGTGCACTCATTCTCCTTACCTTGGACCATCTACTTTCTTTGCAAAGCAGATCTGCATAATGATATGCCTTAAGCCATTCTTGCTGGAATGTATAACACCACATCAGCTCCCAGTAACAGAGGTGATGAATCTGTTTCCATTCTTCCTGAGATTTAATACAGTTTTGGAATATCACCTGTGCCTACAATTAAATATTATAAATATGATCATGTAGATATCAGACAACAGTATAAATAATAAATGGGAAAATTCATACAATATTTTGTGCAAAAAGAACAAAACTACCACTCATTTAATCATTCAATAATACAACAGCTTCTTCTCCTTTAATGAAACAATATAGCCAAGCACTATTTTTTAAGTTAAACTTTATGTTTTCAATCACCAAAAATCTGCCTTTTCTTCCTCTCATACTCTACCCACAACTGAGAAAGAAAGGAAAACAAAATCTCTGCTACAAACAGATATAGTTAAGCAAAATAAATTTCTACATTAGGCACGTCTGAAAAAAAAAACCTACACGTCTGATTCTGCACCGTCTTTCACCTCTCTATCAGCAGTTGGGTAGCAGGTTTTATCATGAGCTCTCTGGAATTGCAGATGGTCACTATACCGATCAGAGTCCCTAATTCTTTCAAAGTTGTCTATCTTTATAATGTTACTGTCACAATATAAATTGTTCGCCTAGTTGAGCTCACTTCACTCTGAACCAGCTCATCCATGTCTTTCCAGTTTTTCTGAGACCAATTCTTTCATTATTTCTTCCAGTATGATAGCTTCCATCACTATCATCAGTATGACTTTTTCAGTCATTCATCAATTAATGGGCACTCTCTCAGTTTCCAATTCTTTGTCACCACAAAAAGAGCCATAAATGTTTTTGTACATCTCTAGTCAAGAGCTCCTCTTGTTCCCCCTTCTCCCTTTTCCTGTTTGCCTCCTGTCTCCCTGTTGAGTGAAATCTATTTCTATACCTATGTGCATGGACTCCTATACTTCTTATCCTGGGCTGCTCATTAAAAGTGTTCTTAACACACACACACACACACACACACACACACACACACACTCCTTCTTACAGAGTGGCAAAAAAAAAGTCAAGGAAAAACTAACATCAAAAGTAATGAAGTAAAATCTGAAATTAATTACCTTTTCAAAATTCCCTTTGAGTAGCTCTATTCTTGCAGAATAAAACAAAATTAAAGAGCCCTGGAGAGAAAGAATAAAAAATCTCCTGTTCAATAACCCCAGGGCTAGTTGACTAATTGTGACTACAAAGTACACTAAAAATACTAAGCATACATTTGGAAACTTCTGGAGATAGGGTTCAAGAAGAGTCTCGGCTTCCTCGATATTGGCTTCTCCTGTGCCTAGAAATTCAACACACAACAAACACAAAAACAACACTCAGCCTCTATAGAACACAGTACGTGCTTACAACCTACCCTTCAAACTTCACTACTGCAAAGATGTATGCCTAATGAACTGGTAATTTCATATGAAAGGAGAAAAACTTTATTATTGTGTCATATTAGTTTCCATTAGGGAAATGAGATAAATATCATTGCACTTTTAGCTCAAGATTTTCTCAGGGCAGAATGACTAAAAGTAAAGTAGGAAGCTGATCTTAAATTTTAAATCTGATTCTTTTTTGTTTTAATGGCTATCATGACCATCACACCTTCAACATTATGCTTGCAGCTCTAACTTTAAAAAAAAAAAACAAACAACTAGAAATCAAGTGATTAGAAGCATGCAAACACTTTGTAGACTCCTTTGCAAGAAAAGCCTGACATTTATTACTACAAATAATAGTAAACCAATCTCATCAATCAGTCAGCATATATTAAGCACCTACTCTGTGCCAGGTACTATGCTAGGTACTAGGGGCCACAAAACCAAAAATGAAACAGCTCCCGTTCTCAGACCGAGTATGGTTACATGCACATCTGATTAAAACTTAATTACTTGCTCCCTTGATGCTTTCTCAGTCTTAGTACAAACACAGTTCTAACAAGATATATTTATATGCTGCTATTTCTCCTTACTGACTTTTCTCGATCATTTTTACTCTCTTCACGAAAAATAACCAACTTTCAGTAAAGTCAAAATGCAATTTAATCCTTACCAAGGACTAGTGAGACATAAGTATGAAATAAGAGTAAAGTTAAACTGCATAGTGTGGACCGTAAACTGGATCCAGATGCACCCTCTCGCAATTGCACAAGGCCCAGTTCCTGCAGAGAACAAAAATCTAATTATCTGCTTTATAAAGGATCATCATTATAAACTACAAGTTATTTCTATTCAAAAAAATTTTAAAATATCAATCTCTTCCTTTCTACCACTTTCACAGTTTGCATCGATATTGTTTATAGCTTCCATGCCAGTTTTATATGATGATGATGTATTTTTGCCATTCTTTAACACAAAGAAAATATTCTGTTTTGTTTGTTTTTGTTTTTGAAAGCATAAAGGAAGTCTAACAAGTATTTTATACTAACTGATTTAGCAGTTTCAGGAGAGAAAGCCAATACTCATTTCAGAAGAATACTGTTTCTCAGGCAGATATAAACAACATGGATATTAAAGTTATAAAATGCCCTAAGACTTTTGGTGTGTGTCCCCTCCCACCACCACAATATGATCAATAATACAAATAATGATATATGATCAATAATACAAATAAAGTGATGAAGAAATTAAGACTTATTGAAATAGGTTTCTCTGTGCTTGCTTTCTTTGAACATGTATTTTGTAACGGGGCAACTGTTTTTAACATTTGGATGAGAGGTATAATGTAGAAATCAATTGCACCCTATAATAGCTATACCTATAGCAGAAAAAAACATAATAAGCATCACTAAAATTAATAAAATTCAGGGGGAAAAGGATTCTCTCACTTAGTGTTGCAATACAACATATAAGAGCAAGGGTATGTTAAGTACCATTGCCATGTATATATCATATATTGTTTGAACCTGAGAAGCATTTTTGAAATTATTTACCACCTAGAATAATCTGAAATCAACATATTGCCAAAAATATTATTTTCATGTAGAAGCTTAGCTTTAAAGGGGTAAAAGATTAGTTTGTGTATTTAATCAATCAAAAATATTTTTAATCACCTTCTACTGTGCTAGATGTCATACTGACAACCATGTGTAACTACTGAAAATATGACCAATAACTGACATCCCTTTGACTGATCTTAAAATAAATTGCTAAGTTAATAAGCTCTATGAAGAAGGGATTTATCTTCCCTTTGAGAATACTTAAAAGTTAAATTTATACCCTGTTGCCAGAAAACCCAATAAATTCTAGTAGTCGGAGAACTCTTGCTGGTAAAAGAGATAACATCTGAAAGAAGAACAAAGTGGATAAAGAAGTATTAGACAACTGTAAAATGTCAAACAGGGCTCAAAGCCTTTTTATTAATATGAAAAATTAAAATTAAGTGAAGATTAATGAATGCCACCAAGAGAAAAAGAACAGGCAATCAGTTACATAAGTAACTCTTTCACTGAAGCAGATGTACAACCAAGAACCTCAGAAAAAAAAAAATACAAGATCATAAACTTTCCCAGGACATGCTTATTCTCCAACTAGCCTGAATGTTAATTCTCCGCCCTCTCATTCTAAGCCCACTTCCAACATGGTTTCTTTAAAATTGGCTTTCCAGGGTTGATGCAAAGTTACCAAATAGTACCAAAGATACAGACAGCATGTCCCCTAAGTCTTCATGCAGTTTTGTGCTTTAATAACTGCACTAAGACTTATGAGACACCTCATCCATTCAAACATTCTGTTCCAATCACCTCTCCTAACTTCTTCACACCCTTCTTAACCCTCTCTACTCTCTCAACCACTTTCATCAGCAAAGCAACAACCATTTTTCATTAAGAAAGAACTCTGACTCCTAGTCTTATGCTTCTTCAAATTCTATGCTCAACTTTCACATCCTTTAGGCATTTTTGGTTCTGAACCTTGCAGAGGCAACAACCATAGCACTGAAAGCCTGTGAAAAGCCTGATGACGTAAAGCTTTCAGTACAGCCCTGTGGGCTCACTTGGCCCTCTCTGTGCACAGCAATCCAGGTGGAATCAAAGAGGAATGGTGGCATGAATGTGATAAATCAGCATCATTTCATACAGTAAGCTTCTGGTATAGATATAAATATATCCTACCAAGTTAAATGCTCCTATTCCAAGCTTCACTCCCCCTTCAAATTGATAATAGGTTTCCTTCTGCTTAGTGCTGCCCTGAGTCATCTGCAGAACAGAATAACATTCCCTGGATTGAAGAAAAGAAATAAAAAATATTCCATTTGTGTGACACTTTAAGACAAATCTAATCTCAAATCAAATTTCGTATCTGTATATGACATAACAAAGTCTACCCTCCAAAATATTAAGGGAATTTTCAAACTGCTGAAGCTATAATGAAACTACTCCAACTATTGCTAAACTATAATCCCCAAGGAGGAGAAGCTTCTACTTCTTAAATCAGCAGACACTTTATACCATCAGCACATGACATGACTCTAGCAGCACCATTTATCAAGTCTGACATTTCAGTTGTAAATAGAGGTGCAGAGCGTTAATTATGAGAGTTCCATGTATCATTCACCAAGGAACACCACTATCACTAACAGGGAGTTTTATGGGAGGTAGAAAGAGAAAGATCTTTGATTTCTTCAGATACACAGTTTGAAAAAACTACTGCAGTAGCCTGAAATCCTCTCAGAAGTGACCAGGAAAGACACCATCAGTAAGTTCTGAATTTCTTTGGCCCTACAGTGACTCAATCAAGTTATTTTGGTTTGGTTGAGAGAGATTGTAAATGGAAGAAAAGTGGTTATTTCCACAATTATCCTTCATCTATGCTCTCATTTTGCTCTTTTCCACAAAGCCTATCTCCCTAACTTTTCCTTTCCATTTTAAAATATTTTCTTTTTGTTTTTACCTTTCAAACCTCAACAACAACAACAACAAAAAAAAAAAAAAAAAAAAAAAAAAAAACCTTGAAAGTGAGATTTTGCAAGGCCCTTACCACCTGACGTTAAAAGAATGAGGGCGGGGACAGACACAGATTTTATTTAAAATCCCTAGCTTCCTTTAAAGGTTCAGGTGTCACCTCCAACGTGAGGCTTTTTCTGATCAAACTTGCCCTTTCCACTCTACCAATTATTGGTCTCTCTTTCTTGCAATTCCTTTATCATTTTGGTTTTTTTTTTTTAATTTTCTTATGTATATGTTGTCTTCCCACTCACCCTCCAACCCCCTGGGGAATGTAAGTGCCTTGAAGACAGATACTGTTTCATTTTGATCTTTGTATATGCAGTACCTAACATTGTGCCTTGCACACAAAATGTTTGTTGAATTAAAATACCATGAACAATCTCTGAGAAGATTAAGAGGACGTAATTACTGATGTTTGAGTTGTTGGATGACCTACATTGGCTGATTCTAGATTAATGTACTTCACATACACAAAGTGATGCTGACGAATCATCAGGAAGAAATGCACTTTGAATTATTATCACAGTACTGTGCTTCTCCTCTGATCTGGTGACACTTTTATCTGGTCCTCCTTGTAGATCATCACTGTCTAGACAACCAAGAAAAATTAGAAGTGTAACCTGTAGCTACAAAATGAAACAAAGATAACTGGTCCACGTAGATAATGAGTCAAAGACCATGGTTTCATTAGCACTGACCTCCAAGAAGTTTAGCTTAAGACCCAGGGCAGTAGTGACCAACCTAGAGACTGACAGAATACAGTCACTACCACCACGGTAATTTCAGGTAATTAATACACAAGTCTTATGAATAGGGCTACCATAATGTGTGGGTACATTGGCAAATGTGACTAATCTACACTGTATGCTTCAGCCCAAACTTGATTTCAAAAGGTTCTTACCACTGTTTTAGGACTGAATAAATAATAGCAGTTATTCATCAATAATAATGTTGTCAGTTACCAACATAAATTACCTAATTTTTAGATCTCCTTATAACAATACTTCCATTGATATAAAGTCCTTCTGCACAGTGTTGACACATTGGCTCAGTACCATCAGACAGGTCATCAATCTTCAATCACCAAATATCAAGCAAGATGCATTATTATTACTTGATTACTTTTCAAGGATCCATGATTTAATGTGAGTATTCCCTTTATTGACATAGATGTAACCCCTCTACAATTTGTTAGATGGTCAGTAAAAGTTATATGGCCAAAAAATCATCACCCTAAAGCCCACCTGATGACCTTCACGACCTTGACCAGTCTAGTCATCAGATAGACAACATTCAGTCGGCTGAATGTTTCACAAAAACAAACAATGCTTTCGTTCACTAGCTTAGCTATCAAAAAACCCAGTACCAGCTCGATATATCTCAAGGTTTTAATGGAAGAAAAATTAGTTTTTAAAAATGAAATCTGACTATACTGAAATTATGAATGCTGTGGGAACTAATGTTTTAAAAATGGCCTGAATCACACCAGTTTATTCAAAATATTTGAATTATTAACTTACTTATATATTTGGTAACTTGTTCTAATTTTGAGTCCACCTTTGATGAAGTTGATCATGTTTTCATCCTGAAAACCATTTAACGAATAATTAGGTCATTACACAAAAAAAAAAAAAATCCTTCCACTGTCTCCATTGCTGTGCCTAGCACATCAAAATTTTAACTTTGGAGACAAAGTTTTTCAAGAAAGCATATTTTGCATGTACCTTTTGAAATAGTTTCTTCATTATTTTTCCCTAAGTTGGAAAGGGAAGGGGAAGGAATTAATTTTTACAGGTGCATTTCAGCATTAATTACTCACAAATCAGTCACTTTTAAATTACTAAAATAGTGATCTTTATTAGTCAGGGATTGTGAATCTTTTTTAGGCAGAGCATGAATTTAAAATTGTAAAACGTCATTTTTTTTTGCATTCAAATAGCATTCTAATTCTAACAGGTTTAAAGGATATGCTGAAAGGTCAACCTTTTCTCTTTCTTGCCAATGAACAGCACTTACTTTTAACTGTACATGTTTCTCCTTCAAGGAGACTTTTATTAGCAAGTGATTTCTGTTTAATATCCTTTCCAGTCCTAGTGAGCTCGGCATGATCCTCTTTGAGCAATTCACTCAAATATCCCCGAGTCTCATTTCTTTAAAAGTAGGGTGTTACATTAGAAGTTTCTCTAAGGTCCCTTTTAGATGCAAATTTCTATGATCCTATTACAATGCTTTAAGTAAATTATAACAGATAACTGCTTGAAGGAAGTTCATCACCAGTAGATGGTGCTATAGGAGGTTTTTTTTCTACAGTGTTTCACACCGGTAGAATCAGAATGTCAAAATTGAAAGGGACCTTAGAGATCACCTACTACACCCCATCCATAAAACACAAGTGGGCTGGAGCAGACTCATACTATCTCTGAGAGCCAACTGTTAAATTTTCAGTGTGATTATTTATTTCTCAGGGATCAGAAAGCTACAAATCAGGGCTTGATTTATTATCTTCTTGATTGTCATGATTTTTGGAAGTGATCGAGAAAATGTTAATAATGCAGATTAAACTTTAAAAGTGTGTCGTGCATACGTTTTGTTTTCCTGGAAAGCCAGTTATTAAACGTTTATTAGCACACCACTGCCGATAAAAAAAAACAAAACAAGGACGCAATGGAACTAAAATTCAAGTCTTCTGACCCTTAATCCTATCTTTTCATTATAATCTAAAACACAGTAATTTTATTTCATAATAATGTTGGGAAGACTCCAGCATTTAATTTCTTGTATGCCTAAGTGTCCCACTAAAGTTAAAAGCATCCAGTTTAATTCTACCATTTTCATTTAAATGAGTAACATTTCAAACTACAGTATCAATAGACTCAGAGTCTGCCACTTTCTGCACAATAATCATAAACAAAAGCATTACTGCTCACTTAAAAATCTGAGAGTTTCAACTAAACAAAAGCAATTTTGGCCAGGAAAGGATTTTCTAAACTATAAGAGAACTTCCTTCAAGTAATACCCACCTTTCACTTTACAATTTAGCTTATGAGTCCCCAAATAGCTACCAAGAACTAGTTATGCAAGTCTGAACCTCCAATTTTGAAAATAACAGATTAAGAACATTTTTAAAGATTCCATGGTAAATGCCATGTCAGCATTGTTCAGTCAATAACCCCCAGTTATTTTCAACAACTTTATAACATACTACTACTGAGGCTTAGAGATTTCCCCCAAGAAGCCATAGACCTAGTCATTTAGACGACTGGGTCATGTTTAAGAATATCTTCACTAAACAGAAACGCAATTAGTAAGATAGAAAAAAATGAACATTTTAAGGGTGGGTCTGAAATAGTATAATGTCTCTAATCAAGGTTCCTGAACTAAGGTTCCTTTTGTTTATATTATGAAGATGTGCTTTCTATCCAATATATTTCCACCCCTCTTCCTGTATCTCTTCTCATCTTTCTCACCTCACTGTACCTGCCACAATTCTCCAACATGTCAAAGATCTGGTTTTTAAAAGAGCAGAAAGGTAGTGATGAACCTGGTGACTGCTGCTGCAGCTGTTCCTAGAGCAGAAGTAACAATGCCCTAGAGTACAGACTCTTTTTCTTGATCTAGGGCACCACAGTGTACTGAATAATTTTATTCAAATTCTCTCCCCAAAGGAGAGGCACCTAGTCATAGTGGACACCTGAGAGTCAGGAAAACCTGCGTTTAAGTTCTAACTCCTGGCACTCCTGTGTGTGTGTGTGACACTAAGCAAGTGACTCAATGTTACAGTACCCTCAGGCAAACTGCCAGTTTCTATTGGCAAAAGGAGTTTCTTTACAGGGAGTTCTCTACAATTAAATCACATTCTCCCAAAATAAGAATAAAACAAGTATGAAGAAATAAAAATACATAAACATGAAAATAAACATTATGAGAAGTGCAAAAATTACAGCTACCAGCTTATACAAACACATGCAAATGAAATTTAAAGGAGTTTGGGTGAGGGTAGATTCAAATGGTGCTAGGTCTAAATAAACAATTATTTATGTCTAATCTTCACTTGAAGTAAGCTGAGAAGAAATATCATTTAAAAGTCTCCATGATGTGGGTGACTTGCTAATTAGCCAATCTAAAAAGGGTTTCTAGTCAGTTCTCTGGGCTTAAAATAACATGACTAATTCCCATTCCACTTAAAAGGAACCTTAAAGAACTTCTAAAAACAAGGGCTAGTCACTTCTAATTATCAAAATCGTTTTCCATAAGACAAAGGAGCAAATAACTTTTAAAATAAGGAAGACTTAATCAGAGTGATTCTAGCCTCTTACAAGTACACAAAATAATGAAAAAAAAAAGAGTTTAATAATGTGTCAGAGCAATTACGCCACTATTTTCACGCATGAAAGGGCCTAGAAATTGGGGTAGTTATAAGGGTTTCCATTTAAAAGATACTAATTAACACCACATGGAGTTTAAAATCAGACTAAAGACAATGAATACGAATAAGAAAGCTACCCCTGGGTATTTGGGAGGCAGAGGAGGGTAGGAGAGGTGGTAACCCAACAAAAATGAGAATACCACTGGTTCTAGCCAATACCTTTCTTTGCATTACCCATTAAAATTATCAGATGGCCCTACAGAATGTTCATTCAAACAGCTATCATGATAGTTCTAGGTGCATTTTGCTGTTAAAATGAAAAGCAACAAATGGACACTGAAACAAATGGACACAATAGTCCTTACCTGTAAAAATGTCAGTGCTGCTTTCTGTAGTAGACATTCCGCGTAACAGATTTCTGCGTGCATTTCCTCTATTAATAACAAACAAAATATATTAAAGAAAATCCCTGAAACATCACATACTTTTTGTCTTAAGATGCTCAAATGAGATCTACAGTAATACATGATCCCAAGTAATTCTCTACAATCATGACAAACAGTTGCCTGGGAAGACAGGAGTTTAAACATCACTTGTGGCTCTTGGAAACTATGGGACCATGGGAAAGTCATTTAATCTCTCTAAAGATCAGCTTCCTCATGTATCTACAATGAGGAGACTGGCCAATAAAGTCCCAGTGCTTAGAGAATGACCAATTTGCTCTGTCTCCTATAAACCCACTTGGAGGATCAGCGAACCTGCTTTCAGGAATTGGCACCCCTCCCCAGCCTCCCATAAAAAATACTCTCGCATATCCTCAGCCTGGTAACAAAAAACATTTTAATTGACTAATGGGCTGAACTGAGAAGACTTATAAATGGTTGTGAGGAAGATCACTCTCTCTTTCTTACCAGGAAAAAGTAAAAAAGTGACAAAGAAGAAAGAAGAAATGTAAAAAAGAAGAAACGCTGGGAGGTAAAACTCAGCAGCAGTCAGTATCTCTGAAGATATTTCTATTTCTCAAGTCTCTTGTATTTATTCTTTCTTGACTCTAGGTGAGAGGGCATTCAGAGACAGAACTGACTAGGTTACAACCCAGGGAGCTTTTGACAGGAGAGCCACCAGAGTCTAGCTACAGGAGTTCACTGCAGTCTATCAGTATTTTCCTTTGCATCTTTGATGTAAAAATGGAAAGGAAGAAAATTTTGACATATTCAAAAAAATTTCTTCTTGCCCAGCTTTTAAGGGAGGCTCTTATAATCTGACTGCAATCTACTCACCCACCCTTATGGCCCTCACTACTCTGTAACATAAATGCTCGACTCATTTGGTTATTCTAACTATACAAACAACTGGCTCGCTTCTATGATCCTTTTTGTCACTGTAACACCTCAACACTCTCTCTCTCCCTCTCTCTCTATCTCTCTGTCTCTCTCTCTTTCTCTTCCTCTCTTCTTCCCTCTCTCCTCTTTTCCTGCATCCTACCCCACTCTTCATTACCTATTCTCAAAGTGTGATCATTCCTAAAGGCTCAGCTTAAGTCTTCACTCCTTTCTTGACTATTCCAGCCCACATGGATTTCTTCTTTGTCCAACTAACTACTCCCTAATTAAAACAGTCCTGGACTCATAAAAGACAATTAACACATATCTGTTTGTTGACTGAGTCTTTGAAAAATGAAAATCTTTCACCTTCCTTCTTCATTTAAGTACTGTAAGTGCCACTATTTAAACTAATAGAAGGGCAAATTTTTTAAAATGCTTTAACAAAAAATAATCAGAAATCATGACCATGAGAGTCAAAACATAAAAATTCTTTGTATTAAATGTCTAATTTTAACACCTACTTAAAATTAGTTCAGGGCAATAAGCCAGCTAGCTAAAGTATTAGGTGGAAATTTTTATCAAATGTGGAAATGATGAGTGGGTGTATGACATGTTAAGCCCATGGAAACTTTAATTAAATATATGCTCTGCTGCAAACCACCAGCCATTCAAGAATGTAAATGAAAATTACCAAGTGGAAAAATAAATCACACACAAATGCTACAATGTTTTGACTCACTCTGTTGGAAAAAGAAAGTCTGTTTGGGTTGTAGTGGCAGCCAAACACATACACTGGAAATAAAGTGAAACAATTCATAAAAAAAAAGCCTGGACTAAAGTCTTAAGTTTATTTACTGTTTGCACTGCTTTATTGTACAGATCAGGATGAACAGGAGGATAAATCCTACCACTTTTCCAGAACGTTCATTTCAGAAGGCAAAAAACAGGCAGGTGTTGGAAGGGTCTGGACTTAACACTAGCAATTTCAAAGGGTTGTTCTCAGCAAAGTGCTTAAGACATTCTAGAAATGGCAGCTGCCATGTGTTATACCCAGGTGCTTCCAGAAGCAGGGTTACATAAATGACTTGCCCAAGATCATGGAGATGGGAAGTATCAGAACAGAGACTCAAACACTGAGAGTCTTCTGTCCAGTAGGTCCAGCATTCTACCCACCACACAACAGACTATCTCTTGTAAACAAATGAGCCATAAATAATTCACATTTATGTAGCACTTTAAGGTTTACACAGCACAAGTGGTTTTAAAGCGCTTTCCTCACAATGCTGGATAGTAAAAATGATATCTTTGTTTTATACTTACGAAAACTGAGACAGAAGGAAGGTTAGTGATTAGACCAAAGTCACACAGTAAATGGTGGACTTGGAAATCAAATTCAGGCCTCCTGACTCCAAGACCAGAGCTCTTTATATTACAACAAATCTTAAACTAACCTGAATTCCAGTGTTCACTGAGTAGATGACAAAAATAAAAATTTTCATTAAAAAACAGTACTCAGTAGATGGGCACTTCTTGGCCCATTTGTTTTTGTTTGCTAAAATAACATCTCCCAAGGATAACACAAGATACATAAACTGCCTTCATCTATGTGCTCATACTCACAATCTCCTTACTGTGTGATCCTGAACAAGTCAGTTTCCTCAAATGTAAAGTAGGGTTAATGACCCCACCTACCACTCAAGGTTGTGAGACTCAAATAAGATTATATTTGTAAAGTGCTTAGCACAGTAACTGGTACACATTAGGTGCTTAATAAATGCTTATTCTTTCCTTCCTTTCTACTATTATCCCCCAAATTATCCATGGTTTCTCAATATATCACTAAAGTAAAAGAATCTGAATCATTCTACATGACAGGAAGGGTACTCTAAAGAACAAATTTATAACAAAAAGGAGAGAGCAAGACGGAATAAAGACAACAATAGAAAAGAGAACTTTACATTTGTCTTGGTCCTAATGTCCAATTTCCTAGTAATATAATAATGGCAGCTAAGATGGCTGGAAAACATACTGTAAGAAAACTATTTGAAGAAATAAGGGATATTTAGTCTATAGAATGGAAAAATTTGAGAGTGGTGTAGAGATATACAATAACTTTCTTCAAATATTTGAGGGGTTGTAAGGTAAAAGAGGTATCAGATTTGTTCTGCTTGGCTCCATAAACAAGAATTAAGAATAATGGGAGAAAGCTGCACAGAGATGGATTTAGGTATGAAGTGAGAAAAAATTCCCAAACAATCTGAGTTATATAAAGATGATATATGGGCTGCCTGGGGAAATACTGAGCTCCCTATCACTTAAGTCTTTCAAATAAAGACTCAATGAGCACTTGTCAAGGGATGTTATCTAGGGGATTTCTGACCGTGGTTCAGTTTTGACCAGATGGTTTCTAAGTTTCCTTCTGAGATTCTGCTTTAAAATTGTTCCATGTGAACCTGACCACTGGGAATGACTGAGCTATTCTCACTTAAAAGAACTATCGTGGCTGCTAGTTCTCACTGTATCCTATCAGTGACAACAGGATTCTCCAGATAGGTGGAGATTAGCACAACTGTCCCTTAATAACAAGTCCTTTGTTCATACAGTAAGCATAGTATTGCTCATTTTGCTTTTTATTTTTATTTATTTAATTTTTGGGGGGGTGAGGCAATTGGGGCTAAGTGACTTGAACAGGGTCACACATCTAGTAAGTGTCAAGTGTCTAAGGCCGGATTTGAACTCAGGTCCTCCTGATTCTAGGGCAGAGCTCTATCCACTGCACCACCTAGCTGCCTCCCTCATTTTCCTTTTTAAAAGCTACAAGAGACAGGATGGCAGAGTAAGAAGAGTACTTGCTCTGAGCAAAAGGATATGGGTTCAACTCCCATTGATGCTTATTACCCTGTGTGACTTTGAACAATCACTTAATCTCCCTGGCTTGTTTCCTCACCTATGAAATAAGGGGTCTGAACTAGCCTCTGAGAGGGCCTTTCACATGGAATGATTTATTCTCTGACTGGGTCACTTTAGTAACCCCTCCCAATGCCTCCGCCACTACTTATAAGTCATTATTCTCTGAGCATAATGCTAAAAAAACTCATCTATTTATATGCTTGAAACATCTCCTACCATGGTAGCACCACAAGCTAGGGCAACATAAGCTGAAAAGTGTGGGGTCTTTTGCCCATCATAAGCTTTATCAATGTTACGTAAAAACATATGGATTCCTGAATATTCATAAATGTTCACATTCCAATCACCACACTTACTGCCCAACTTGATAAATATTCTCAAGAGACCTCAAGGTGCTTGAGAGGCAGCCTAGTGAAGTGGATGGTGTGTTAGGCTAAAATATGAGGAAGACCTGGGTACCAATCCTGCTTTACTCTAGCTAGGCTAGCTTACTAGCCTGGATAAATCACATAAAGATGGATCTGATGACCTCTCAGGTACCTTCTTTTATGTTTTATGATTCTCTGACTCACCTTCACTTAGCTGATCCACTGACGATTTGGAAACAAGACTTGACAGAGATTCTACCATTGTGTTTCTTTTTCTGAATCTACATCAAACAAGTGAAAAAAAAAAGAAGAAAAGCATACCAAATGAGAAATTGAGCTGAATCAATTTCATTTCCATTTAGTACTCATCTCAGATAGAACCCCTAGAAACACAAAATAGCATTCCTACTAAACTATATTAAAGAATGATCAAGCTAGGACCCTAAACCCTTGAGGCTGTTTTCCTTAATCCCACAGGCCAAGATCACTATTTCTGTGGTAAATATACAGTAAGCAACAGAAAAATCTCAGAAGCTTGGAAAAAGTCAGATACTCTTAAGTTCTCTGAATCTGGAGGGTACAACATTGGGAAGGAAGAATGCTTGAAACACTAAGACCAGACTATTCCTTATGAATTCTGATACTAAAAGAACAGCCCCTCCTGAGACATTTCTTCTGTATTTGTACATCAAAGACAGAAGCATGATTTTTAAATGCATCTAATTTTCAGCCATCAAAAAGGTTCAAAGATGTTCAAAAAAAATTCTAAGATGCAGAATGTTAAAATGAAAGTGTAAAACATACAAAAAGAACTCCGCATTATTGGTCAGGCTTAACTGTACTTCCTGAACACTAAAACAACAAAAATGAAGAAAGAGACTTGTTTGTTCAACCCAGTAAGTCGTCAGAACTGTGGATCAAAATACCATTTAACAAAATCTACCTGCTCTTTAGCCTACCTGGAAATACTATTTTGACATTTTTAAAAAATCTTGACACTGAAAATACAGAGAATAAGGGAGCATAGAAGCTGAAATCTACCTTTCTTTCCCTATTTAACTACAACTCTCTAATTTTGCAGTTATCATCAGTTTTGTCACACAAAATTAAAGGTTGATATTCATTCTTCTCCCATAGTTAAATTACTCAGGCCTACTTTTGACAGGTTTGTAAAGCTTCCTTCATTGTGGAAATGCCATTTTGGATGTCCTGGTGTTCAAAGGTCATTGCTGCCTGCATTACTAAAATAGTGCTATAGCCCAGAGCATGATACATACTCTCTTTTGACCTGAAAAAGACATAAGAAAACAGAGCATTTAAATTAGACTCCATAACTTTTTAAAAACATCACATTGGGACTATACATAGAATTATAAAGCCATATCTATCACTTCTCACAACTTTCAATAGAATTTAACACATCATCTGGATCACTGATTTGATGACTACTGAGGACCAGGCACACTGTATTCTAAAAACTCAGCCATTTAAAAACTATTTTGAGGACTTCTACATTTAGACCTATAATAACCATCTTAAATCTCTGCTTCACTTCGCACAACCTGATCTTTTCTTCACCACAAGGGGGCACATTCATTATGAACTTATTTTTTAAAAAGGTGTCAAGCAATGCATTTTTCCCTACATCTTTAACTTTTCATCAACCAAAGATCAAACAAACAGTTCACCGGATTCCATTCGTGAAAAACAACTCAGCACAAGGTTTCCTTATGTTACAAACATGATCACTTCTCTCTCTCTCTCTCTCTCTCTCTCTCTCTGTGTCTCTCTCTTCTTGCTTCCTCCCCTTTTTGTTTCCCTCATACTCAAAAAAAAATCAAAGATACTTGTAAATAAAAATATTTATAGCAGCACTTTCTTTTGTAGATAAGAACTGGAAACAAAATGGGTGCTCACCAATTGGGAAGAGGCAGAACAAATTGTAGTATATAAATGTAACGTACTTGTTAACAAAGGTTTGTGGAGGGTTTTTTCCCCAAAGAGGGGAGAGATGGAGAGAGAAAATAGATTTTTTTTGTCCACTGAAAAGTAATTAAATTAAAAAATAAAAAACTATGTGAATGTAATGGAATGTAATAAAGTTTTTTTAAAAAAAGACAAAATGAATGAATTCAGAGGAACCCAAGAAGGATTATATGAACTGATATGAATTAAGAAGAACCAGGAGAGCAATTTCAAAATGACAGTACTACAAAGAAAAACAATTTTAAAACACTTAATAATTCTAATCAACATAATAATGAATCATGAATTCATAACCCTAACCCTAATTGCACTTCCTACTTCTTAAAGTTGATGAATTTTAAGTAAAGGATAACACATTTGTTTGTTTGTTTATGGGATATATGTATACACACATCCACAATCATCTTTTTCTATTTTCTATAGATAAATGTTTATTTTTGTTGATGTTTGTCAAGTTCATAATTTTAAAATTTTCCTACTACAGCTGGAAAATACTCTTTCTCTGGCTATATAGGAGAATTAATATATTTACAAAAAAAAAGCAGTTGATTCCAGGTGGAAGGGGCGCTAGAGTTCAAATTTGCAATGATTAAGTTGTATGAACAGTCCTGTCTTCCTTTACCCTAATTCAGGAAATTGCCAAAAAAAAAAAAGCCCACAGATCTCATAATCAGGCAGTGAGGAGCCAGGGCAACACCAACCCTCAAGTGAATCTATCATGAAGACAGAAGGGTGAAAAGTAATGGCAGGGAAAGTGAGTCAACCATAACCCAGACCATGTACAGAGGTGGTCAGAGTAATTTTAGATGTCTTTTAAATAACGTCGACACGACAAGCTAGCAATTTATTTATCGTGGTAAGAAAAAGGCCAGGGCTAAGAGACTGGGAATCACAATGTTCTTGAAGTGAGGGGCCTGGCGTCAATCTGGAAGACTGCTTACCCCAGGTCTGGGAAAGCAAACAGGCATTAGCGTGGCAGCTCAGCAGAAAAGCAAGGTGGCCTCGACCAGGAGCTGAGAGGACAAGGAATGACAACTACCAAGAGGGGAATAGGAGGTGAAGAAATGGGGCAGCTGCTCAAAAGCCTCCCAGAAAAATCCTTTCACCTACTCTCAATGAAACCTAGCCACTTAAAAGCTATCTGACCTAGAGCAAGTCACTTGACTTCATCCTCTTAACACCTTCAAGCTCCACATGAATCCCATGATTCTGTGATTGTATTTCTTAGCTACCAGCAAGTTTTAGGAACACTTTTCATTTTATCTTCCATTTAACCTAAATCAAGTTTCTATGGAAAACAAACCCAAAACACACCACTCCTTTCCCGAATGGGAAGAGTCAATCTGCCTCCTTGTTCTATGTGCATAAAGCACAGGTTGTTCAAAGGCATTGCCAGGGCCAAAAGAGCAGCATCAAAGGTAAGGCTTTACAGAACATTAACTGTGGCTTCAAAACCTCAAATCTGTTAACTCACAAAAACACTTATTAGAAGAAAGTTGTTGCTTTTTTATTATTGTTTTTCCAGGTGAAAATACTTTTTTTTTTCAGTTAGAAAACAAACATTCCCATTTTTTTGGTAGTTACAATAGCCAATCATTGTTAAGCTTAGCAGCAATACCACCCTCACCCACCTACCTCCATTCCTAAAACTGGAATAGTCCTACAATGCAGTAATATCATTATGGAGTACTGGAGTATTTTAATGGCATTTTAGTAATAACTAAGAGAAAGAAGGGCAGTGTTAAGTCAAACGGGAAACATTTTCAAAAATCAAAATGAACTGAAATAAGTTTGTTTTTAAGAATAAATGACACTGTGACAATGGAGACTCCTTAGAATATTGCAAAATAAGGAATACTGGGAATGGAGGGGGGAAGAGAAGCCACTTCATCCCTAATAGCAAAAAATATATTCTTTCCAATCTGTTATTCTGAAAGCCATTCAGACAGAATAAAACAAAAACAGAAAATTGTCATTATAGGAACACTATGTCCCGTTATAATTATTATTCTATTCCAACAACGCAATCACACTGCCCAATATGTATAGAGAATCAGCTTTTTTTATATCAAGAGAAAGTTATTCACACAAATAAAGTAAATCAAGATCTATATACAAAAAGCAATCCAGCTATCAATTCAAGGAATAATAAGGACACTATTCCATCAGGAAAGCAAACAAACTTTTATGTAGGAACATAAACAGGTTAAAAGGCAGAATGTTCAGAAAACTCTGCATGACAACTATTCAATTACCTGTAATTGAAAGGAACTAAGTTAAACTTACCATGGACGAAGTAATTCCAAGGCTTCTGAGAATCTATTATTTAGAAACAAGTTTAATGCCATTGTACATTCTTCTAGTGAACACCTAAGATCCATCTTGTTTGCCCTAAAGATCAAGATACATAACATATGCATTTACTGTTTACATTAGCTCATGATTTTTACTTACACTTTTGAACACAAAATCTGCACAAATCAGTCCCTCTTATCAATCACATCAAACATGAAATTGATTTTAAAAGAGGAAATCACCTGCAGAAGTTTGGTTTTGCATAGTGCTTCATAATAGACATTTCGATAAACAGATGGGCAAACTGGTTAATTTGACAAACAAAGCTGCTATTGAGAATGTGCTACAAGTTTAATAATCAACACTAGAAATTATTTTAGATGGAACCTCCAAGTCAGAAGTTTACAAATTTCACCAAACTATACATCTGAAAAGCTAGTAAAATGATATAGTGCTTAGCTATCTCCACAGTTTACAGGATTTAGAAGTGGAAAGAACCTTATAGATCATCTTGTCCGGAGTTTTCAAAGTTGTGGGATATGCCACAATGTGGGAGGGTGAGACAGGGAGACATCTTCTCTTGTGTGGCATGATGCAATGCCAAAATTATTGGTTATTTTCAAATATACACTTTTTCCCCAATACACATAAGTACACTTTTTTTCAATTAAAATAAAGTTCATATCCAAGTTAACAAAAGCATATTCAACACAGCAATTCCTCTACAACTGGCAGTTAATGCTGATCAGTGATTATTTAATGCAGTCTGCACAAATAAGGGGACCATCCCATCAATAACTTTAGGCTCATGACACAGATTGTGTCATTGTGCTCCATTTAAACATGAAGTATGCAAACTCAAAGTTAGGCAATTTTTGTGTGTACATTTAAAGTATCGTATATATATTTCTCAATATTACTGATTTTGGCAAGGCCAATACAACAGGCTGTTTCATTAAAATTTTTCAATGTTTAATACATGAAATAATGAGAATAATAAACAGATAACTGCCTTTTAAGTAATTAGGTTTGATTTGTCTTAAATTTATATCTAATTTTCATAAATGAAAAAATATTAAATAATAGCCCTTCATAACATACAGTTGGAAGAGAAAATTTAACTGAACAGCACAAATTAGTATAAGCAAAGAAAAAGAGTTCAAATAGTAGAAATACAGAAAAACAAAGCAAAAAGTCCAAATTAAGATATCATTCACTTCATGGGAAGGTCAAGCCAACATAATAAAAATGACAATTCTACCTAAATTAATCAACTTACTCAGTGCCATCCCAATTAAATTACCACAAAATTATTTTATTGAGTTAGAAAAAATAATGACAAAATTCATTTGGAAGAACTAAAGGTCAAGGATATCAAAGGAACTAATAAAAATAAAAATGTTAAGAAAAGAGGTCTAGCAGTGCCAGGTCTTAAACTGTATTATAAGGCGGTAATTATCAAAATCATCTGGTACTAACTAAAGAATTGAATGGCAGATCAGTGAAATAGAGTAGTTACACAATACATAGTGGTAAATTATTAGAGTAACCTTGTGTTGATAAATGTAAAGACCTAAGCTTTTGGGATAAGAACTCATTGATAAACTGATTGATAAAAACTGCTGGGAAAAGTGGAAAGCAATATGTCAGAAACTAGGTAAAGACCAGTATCTTACACCATTTATCAAGAGAATGTCAGAATGTCAATATGACCTAGATATAAAGGGAGATATCATAAGTAAATTAGAAAAATATGGAACATATTACCAATGGATAGGTAGAATGGATAGAAGAAATAAAGAAGAGATACAGAATACTGTTAGATACAAATGGATAATTTTTATTACATTAAACTTAAAAGTTTTTGTACAAATAAAACCAATGTAGCCAAGATTAAAAGGAAAGCAGAAAATTGGGGGAAATGTTTATATCAACAATTTCTCAAATAAAGACCTTGTATCTCAAATATATAGAGAACTTACTTATAAGAGAACTCAAATTTTAAGAATATAAGCCATTCCCCAACTAAAAAACGGTCAAAGGATATGAACAGCAGTTTTTAGAGGAAGCAATCAAAGCCATACATAATCATATGACAAAATGCTCTAAATCATTACAGATTAGAGAAATGCAAATTAAATTAAAGTGAGATACCGTGTCATACTAATCAGATTGGCTAAAATGATAGAAGGCTTGGAAAAGACAAATGTTGGAGGGGATGTGGAAAAATTGAGACACTAATACACTGTTAGTAGAACTGTGAACTGATTCAACCATTTTGGAGAGCAATCTGGAATTATGCCCAAAGTATATCAAATTGCATATACTCTTTGACCCAGTAAGATCACTATTAGGTCTGTTTCCCAAGGTGATCAGGGAAAAGAAACTTTATGTTCCAAAATATTTATAGTAGCTCTCTTTGTGGTGGCAAGGAACTGAAAACTGGGGAATAGCTAAATAAGTTGTTGTATATGATTGTGATGGAATTTTACTATACTGTAAAATATGATGAGCAAGTTGATTTTAGGAAGACATGGAAAGACTTGCATGAAATAATGAAGAGTAAAATGAAAACAGTATATAGTAACATCAATATTGTTTGAAGAGTAAATGTGAATGACTAAACTTTTCTCAATTATTTGAACATTCAAATTAATCACAAAGGACCTATGAAGGAAGATGCTATCTACCCCCAAAGAAAAAATTTATATATGGAACTATGTACTGTATTGTTTCACATATTTATCTGTGTCAAATATTGGCCTTCTCTAGTTTGGGGATTGGGAGAGAGGGATGGAAACCGCTTGAAAAATCAAATGTAACAAAAAAAAATATTTTTTGTTAAATTTTAAAATAATTTTTAAAAAAGATGCAATTCACTGTATTTATCTTGGGATTCGGAAGTACTATAATTAATGGAGACACCACCTCCCAACACCCACCACCACCCCCCAACACCCACCACCACCCACTGGTTGCTTTACACAAATGTTTTAGCTACAGATATCATTAAACTTCATGTATTAAAATATTTCAAATGTGTAGTATGTTGAAAATGTTAGCAAGATTATTTTCTAATAAAAATTAGGTTCTTTTAATATGCAAAAACCAACTTTTCAAATACCGTATCTGTGATATCAAAAGAATTGCTTGCATCATAAAAAGCTGCTTAAAGAATTGCTAAATGTTAAAAACTTCACTTCAAAGGAGAAACACAGACGCTTACCTGCCAGCTATTGACGTGGTTAAAATCATACCTGGAGAACGCCATCCAAAGCAGTTTCAAATAACTCCACTTAGAGGTAACAAATGTAGGGGAAAGAAAACTGTCCATTCATCTGAAAACCTTGGTATTTAATTAATTAATAAACTAAAATCTTCCTACTTTGTATTACAAATAAAGAAAGCAACAGATGCACATATGATGACTACACATTATATATATACATATATGCACACATACACACACATATATAAACACGCTATTGATAATGTTAGAGAAGATTTGTTAATATGCGAACTTACTGAGGGAATACCACTGACAGACTAGTTGATGTCACGACAAAATATAGGTCTATAATCCATAGCCAAAAAAAATAGTGGATATTTCTTCAATTTGGATACTATTTGATAAGCATTGCAATCCTTTATATGGGGAAACTGAGTAAGGAATTTTGTATAATTTCTCAAGCTGTTAACCAAAAGGCAAAAAAAAAAAAGGTCAATTTTTTAAAACCTATTAAAAGGAAGACTCAGCAAAATTATGTGAAGACATAGAGGCAGAGCCTTCAATATTATTGTGAAACATGCCGGCTTTCTCATGCCAAATTATTTCTTAATGATAAAAAAAAATGAAGGAAATTCATTCTACTAAAAAAAAATTTCTAAAGCTCCATTTTACACAAACAAGAGGTATCTGATCACTACAATAACCAACATCAACTCCAGAATACTAATGATGAAAGACTGCTACCCACTTACTGATGGAGGGCTAATGGACTCAAGATTCAGCATATGACTTACATTTTTGTATGTGGGCAAATGTGTGGATTTATTTTGATTAACTATGTTTGTTAAAAGGATTGAGTTTTTCTTTTGTTACATGGGTATGGAGGAAGTGGAAACAGGATCTACTGACATTGAACCCCTATTCCTAAAAAAATAAAAGAGGTTCATTTTTTAAAATGTATACAAAGGAAGAGAAGTTCATAAAGAAATACAAAAAAAGGACAGCTTTAAAAGTAATCCAGTATGATATACCTTTTTTGAAAGAAAGCAAACTATATGCAACAGTTTCACAGATTCATATATAATTCTACTTTGTACATGGAAATGCTCTTTTTTCTTCTTGTACTTCATTAAGTTCAGAATATCTGTGTCTGGCAAGGAACTAGTGAAACAGCCAAGAGACATGCCTGCCCTAGCCCACAGGTGGCTACTTGCCCCAGCCCCCGCCCCATCCCACACCCCACCCCCAGCTAAAACATCGCATTCAGTGAGAAACCAGCATAGCTCAGGAAAGGATTAAGTCACCAATGGTGAGGGGAGAATTAAAATGTGTGCCTTTGGGGAATGACTTTGTACCAACTACTTTAAGTCTGGGCCCATTCTTTGCAAGAGACATTGTAGTACAGCTGAATGGGGGAGGGGGGGTTTAAGGGGGAAGAGTATGGGTTGTTTTTTGTTTTTGTTTTGTGTTGTTTTTGATAACTTCTGTTCTTGCTAGATCTTCTCAGTAAATACCATTTTGTAAAAGATAATTGGTATTGGTTGGTGAATAATATCAGTAGAAATTCTAGCCCCTCAGGGTCATTCCTAGTGACCTGAAAGGAATAGTCATGACCCTCCCAGAAGGAAATCATTCTACTTTACCAGAGAGAACTGGGTGAACCCAGAGGCAGTACTACAATAAGAACAATTCATTTATATAGATTTTTCAAGTTTACAAAGCACTTTCCTCTTCACAATCCTAGGAGGTGGATAGCTTAATTATTATCCAGATTTTACAGATCAGAAAATTGAGTTTTAGGTTCCAGGACAGATGGATTAAAGAGGTGCAGTTAAGTACCTACCACGTGGAGTCTGAAAGGGAGAAA